GTCTATGCGAAAGTGAAATTTGTTCAAATATTTGTCTCAATCAAAAAGGGAGCTCGACAATATCACTAGACTAGACTAGCAAGATTCGACCAAATGTTTACCATTATCTATACTCAATAAATGCGCTTAAATGTAGGCAACACTTTTTAAGATGTTTAAAAAACCGAAATAATAAACAAGTTTGGGGCAAATAAAGAGAGAAATCTCATAACACAAGCTATTTTAGATGTGTTTTTCGATTTTTTTCTTTTACGAAATTTCATTTCCCGAGTACCGAAATAGCAAATATGGATAAGGGATAATGGATAATGGCGCTGCGACAATTGTCGAGTGCTCATGTCGAGCCATTTCATAACTCACAGTGACAACAGAAATGGGGCGAGGGAAAGGGGGAGGGTCGGGAAAATGTAAAGGAAAAGGCAAAGGGCCACAAGGACGCAGTCAATTTATATTATGAGCCAATGTCCTGGACATGGCAATCGAAGTGGACAGATGAGAGCGCGGATAATGATAAGTGATAAGTGATAAGAGTAACAGGAGCAACAAGAGAAACAACAACCGAAGGGAGTGCACAAAAGGAATCCAATAAAGTGTTAAGTGGGGCAGCCAAAGGGGGGCGGAGAAAGCTGGCCAAAGGGGGGCGGAGGGGGGGGTGGGTTAAGTATGGAGAAAGCACGAACATTTCATTCCCCAGATGCTTTTGCGTCACTTGAGCGGCAATTTGAATGAACGAATGGGAATCGGAATGCGAATGGGAAAGGGAAATGCTGGAAATGCTGAAAATGCGGCAAATGAGCGGGGAAATGAGGAAATGGGGAATGGGGCGGACTAAAGCCAAGCTAAATCGTCCCCGGGCCAAACCAATTGACGATTTGTGCATATAACATTATTATAATGACATCATCCCAAAGCGCCTGTGGCAACCCATCGTCCAAATGCAAAATTTACACTGTCGAAATCGAAGGAGTGTTTGCAAGGTTTAACTTTTCGCTTAAACTTTAGTATGCAAAAGTTATATTATTGGCATTAGTAAATTAATACATAAAAATGTCGTAATGCATTTATTTAAAAATAAATTGTTGTACAAATGTTTCAATGATATGGGGGAAAAATTTAAGATTTTAATTATTGTTTAGTTTAGCAATAAAGCTGGCATTTTAAATAATATATTTAAAATAATGTAATGTTTAAATCTTTTTATTTGGCAGTTTTTTTAATACATATTGAAATTATATATTTTTCAAAATTTGTAGTGCAGATTGTTAACAATTTTGGTTTTTTTAACAGCCTAAGTTACAACCTCTAAAGCAGTTAAATAGTGTTATTTTAGTTTTTACAGATGTACAAACTTTAGAACCTTTTCTACCAGTGCAGTTTTGAGAAGCACTTTGGTATGTTCGATGGGAACCTGCGAGAATCGCAGTGACGGGTGGGAGGCGGAAAATTGGACATGCCTTCAAGTGCCGTTCGTTCGCATCCAGTGAATAATAAGAAAATTCCTGTGCGCCTTGGCATTTTCGCGCCAACATCCTCATCATTCCCGTCATCGGACCGGAGACACAAAACTATGCGGCGCAGCCCCAACGGATATGCCATAGTTTACCCCATCCCAAAAAGCATCACTTCCAAAGTGCCATTTCAAGTTCAAGCGGGTTGGAAAAATCGAAAAAGTTTTCGATTGGATGAGAGCCGCACACAACACTGCGAAGCAGTCGAGCAAATGCAATAAACTTCAAGTTTATTAAATTTTATCACACTCATACCTCGACTTATGGACTGTATGTGGCCATTCAATTGTTTGCCGGGAATCAAATTGCCAAAATACCAAAAGGAAAAGTGTAAATTCCGTGGATGCGAGAGGCAGCTTCACTGGCAGCAGCCCAATCAATGTCAAATCAAATCAACTCAAGTCGGCCACTTCTACGGACTGAATCTACAATGAACTCGCAGCGCTGACCCACAAACCCATTCCAATAAAATACAAATTTACGATACAAATTGAATTACTTAGCTTGGCAGATAGGTTATACTTATCCGTATAATACAGCTATTAAATGAGGCAAAAGTCAATGAGGAATTCCAAGGAGTTTCGGTTTAAGGTTTACGCAAGTTAAATATATTAATTCTAATCAATTTATTTATACAATTTTAAATAAAAGAAAATGTATGTAGTTTCACTTAAGTTTTTAATAATTTTTTGAAGAAATCCTTTTTTTATAAACTGAGTTATAGGTTATTAGTTACATATTAGCAAGCCTAAGCAAATTAAATCTAAAAATTGGCATATATTCTTAAAACTAAAATGCCTTAATTGGTTAAGTAAATGTGTAGTTTTCCCTAAATGCCATTGTTTTGCCGGATTTCAAAACCAAACACGCATAACTCATTAAAAGTAATTACATATCAAGCAGCCAATTATGATTTCAGCTCGTTTGGCACTGGTTTTGAACCGGATTCCCATGGAGCCATTGCCAAATGGCAAACCGATTTGTTTCGTATTACCAAACTTTCGCCGGAGAAATAGGAAGAGGGTGGGGTGCTACGATTTTCCAGTTCCGGTTCGGTTTTTTGATGGAGAAGGAGAAGGAGAAGGAGGGTTTTCTGCGGTTGGGCCAATGTGCCTCTTTCTCTGTCCGTGCCGCTTGTAAAAGCGAAGTGAGACATATGTACAGTAACAAATCAATTTTAGTGGCAAACACAGACAAGGGGTTGTGGCTTGAAGTGGGTGGCAAGTGGGCGGTGGGTGGTGCCGCGAGTGAAGCCGAAACTCGTTTGGGGCATATTACTTCCGACGAACTTGATTGAACTGCTCTGGTCCGGACAGCGAGCCAGCGGAAAGCGAAATTCATCAACGCACCATTGCCCGAAATCCGAGGCACCCACACTCCGTTCCCACCCCCTTTTTGGCATTCGACCGCCAACCATGTCAAACGCAAACACCCCCCCTTCCCTCCCCCCCTTCAGTCGTGTAAAAAAAAACCACGGACCCCTGTCACTTTTGATTGTAATCGAGTGTTTTTATTGTCGCCCCCTCGCTCTCGCTTTTGCTCTGCCTTCTGTGTCTTCATCTAGCTACACTGGACAAAATTTCAAGATAATTTGAACACGATTAAGTTTAGAATTTAAATAATACATTCGTTTTTTTTTTAAATATAAAATGTTATTTTCTTTTACTGATCGGAAAGTTAAATGCGCTTGTTCAATCTAAACTATATTTTGTTATCAATATATTTTTTATCAATATAATCCAAAATATAATATTCTTTTACTGAAAATTTTAAATAGTCCCACAGCTTAGGATTACGATTTAATACCTTTGTTTTAGGCTGCTATGAAATATTGGTTGGAGTTGGTTTTGTAAACAATTTTGGCAAGTGTGCGCACAGACAAACAGTTTGATATACTTTACGAACTGCGCTGCAAAGCCACATTCACCATCAGCATTCACAACCACATCCACATCCACATCCACATCCACATCCACATCCACATCCACATCCACATCCACATCCACATCCACATCCACATCCACATCCACATCCACATCCACATCCACATCCACATCCACATCCACATCCACATCCACATCCACATCCACATCCACATCCACATCCACATCCACATCCACATCCACATCCACATCCACATCCACATCCACATCCTGTCCTGAGTCCCGAGTCCCGAGTCCTGGCCATGGTCCTTGTGCTCGCGCTCATCGTCCTCGATCTCGGCGTGTGTTTGCCAATTGGATTTGACATTTTATTGGGTTTTCCTTGGCTCTCGTTACTGCCGCACCAGTGGATCCACGATTGCTGTTGTTGCTGTTGATATTGTTGCCGTAATTGATGTGCCTGATGTGCTGCCGTTTCGACCAAGTCGCTGCCAACATAAATCCACGCTGTCCTGTTCGGTTACTGTCGCCCCTGTTCCTTCCTCCCTTCCTTCCTCAGTTATTCACTGTTACCCAGTTACCCAGTTACCAAGTTCCTGGTGGTTATGAGGCTTTATTGACCGGGGAGTGGATGAATTGAAGTCGCGTGGCTTGCTTTTATTTGGGTAATTAGTAGAGTAGAACTTGATTATCGCGCCATCTCCACGGATGCCCAGTGTGTCGGGATTGGTAACCAAAGCAGACGAGGCGGCTTAATGGCCAGCAATAACTCCGGATGTCCAGGGCAACGAGTAATCGCAGAATTCACAGGATTTACAGGACTCATAGGACTCACAGGACTCACGGCTGAGTAACAGGTCGGATAACACTGACAGCATCGAGTCCCGCGGGAAATTGGCCAGGCAGCTGGGCCTCGGCCATCCAATCGTAGTCAATCTGAGCTGGCCTAATTAATAAATTGAACTAGCACACTTCCACGGGGTGTTGTCTCTAATAAATCAGGGACTCGGTGTATTAATCTGGCGTAGCCCAGCAACCTGAAGTTAAATTAAACTAATTGCCATAGAAAATAATGCATAGAAATTATGTATTCATATGGAGAACACTAACTCTTCTTTGTTTGAAAGGCTGTTAAATATCTGAAGGCCAACATGTTAGCTCATTTTATAATCACAAAATATGTAAATTAAAGTCGATGGATGTCAAAATTGCAATGAAGAAAAGTTCTGCTAAATTTTGCATTTTTAAAAAAGAAACAATAAACTTTAAAGAAAGTTACTTTCTCTTTATAATGCAACGAGTCTTTGGGTTTTTAGAATGTCTGAAAAATATATTAAAACCTACTTTATTTTGTAGTTATATAAAGGAGTATCTTTTTTTTTTGGGATACTATAACATTGAATTGAACTTTCCTTAATTAACAGGGTCTCTTAAAAAATACAAAATAAGTAAAAAAAAATGTTGTTGATTTTTTATAATGGTTAAAAAACAAATACATTTTAACAACTACTCATATATTCTGCAACACCAAATCTTGGTTATAATAGTCCCCAGTAAAAATAGATATTTCCAATTAAATTTTAAATTTTTGCTTATAAAACTCATTTAGGACTGTCGGACACGAAGCTGCACGAGATCTATCTGGACGACAAGGAGATCAAGCTGAGCTGGATGGTGGACTGGTACAAGCAGGAGGTGCTCTTCCACCTGCAGAACGCGTTCAACGAGCAGCACCGCTGGTTCTATCTGGGATTCTCGAAGCGCGGTGGCCTGGCCGATGCGGACATTTGTTTCTTCGAGAACCAGAACGGGTTCTTCAACGCGGTGACCGACACGTACACCAGTCCGGATGGGCGGTGGGTGCGGCGGGACTATCAGCAGGACTGCGAGGTCTTCAAAATGGACGAGTTCACGCTGGCCTTTAGGCGCAAGTTCGACACCTGCGATCCGCTGGACCTGCGACTGCACGTAAGTGAATGTGAATCCTTGGGCTAGGACTAATTGGCCACTAATTGGGTATCCACTTTCCAGGAGGGCACCATGTACGTGGTCTGGGCCCGCGGTGAAACGGAGTTGGCCCTGGAGGACCATCAGTTCGCCCTGCCCAATGTGACGGCTCCGCACGAGGCGGGTGTGAAGATGCTCCAGTTGCTCCGGGCCGACAAGATACTTATACCCGAGACGTAAGTGCTGGCATAGGTCATATATAATTATACTCTTTTTTTAAGTTTCAATTTTTTAAAGGAAAGATTGGCGCGTTTCGCGGAAAGTAACAAAGATATAATCACGTTAATGCCAATAATCTTAACTAAATGTGGCTCATATGCAGTATGGTCCGCAAAGAATCGTGTTTGTTTGCCACTTAAAAGTGTCAAAATGTTTTTTTATTTTTTATTTATTATATTAAAAATTAACGAAAAATAATTTAGATAACATACAGCCTTTAAATTTAAAAACAAAACAGATGAACTTAGTGCCTTTAAATGTAAACAAAAAACCCAAAATTTAAATAAACCATTTATCTCTAAATTTTTGGTTTCATTGCAGCGATCTGGACCACATAGAGATCACCCTGAAGGAGGCGCCCGTTCCCGACCGCGAAACGACCTACTGGTGCCACGTGCAGCGCCTGGAGGGCGATCTCCAGCGGCGCCACCACATCGTGCAGTTCGAGCCGCTGATCCGGACGCCGGGCATCGTGCACCACATGGAGGTGTTCCACTGCGAGGCCGGTGAGCTGGACGAGATCCCCCTGTACAACGGCGACTGCGAGCAGCTGCCGCCGCGGGCCAAGGTCTGCTCCAAGGTGATGGTGCTGTGGGCCATGGGTGCCGGCACCTTCACCTATCCCCCGGAGGCCGGTCTGCCCGTCGGCGGAACCGGCTTCAATCCCTACGTCCGGCTGGAGGTTCACTTCAATAATCCGGAGAAGCAGGCTGGTGAGTGGATCGTCGATAGCTTGATGGGTTGGGCAAAGCAGGGGTCGTAATCCTGCTTTGGTTAAGTGATGAGCTGCATCGCCACACGTGGCGCAGTGGAGGGATTTTGTTTTCACCTCTAAGCCTATTATGTTGCCTGCTATTTATTTTAATTGGAACTCAATGGGGCGCAATTTGGATAGCATGTCTAGTGGAAATTCTTTTGTTTTATCAGTGGAAAAGTATATTTTTGCTGCAAAAAAGAAATCATTTTTGAAATCGGTTTTGCAAGTCTTCAACGTGATTTACTAAATTTAGTTTTAAATCCTTTGCAATCTTGTTTATATTTGATTACATTTTTTGTGAAAAAGAACAAGTTAGCATATTTAAGAGCTGTTTAACTAGTCGTATACGCAATGTATACACATTATAAAGCAATTATAAATAAAAAAGTATAAAGTATTAAAAATAAATTAATAAAAATACTCAATTAAATGTATTAAATAAACTATCGCTTATAAGATTAATGTTAATATATCTAAATTTGTCTAATAAATGTCAATTAATGTTAATCATCCGCCCTGTTGCATCCATCAGGTTTGATTGACAACTCGGGCTTCCGCATCAAGATGTCGAAGACATTGCGTCAATATGACGCCGCCGTAATGGAACTGGGCCTGGAGTACACCGACAAGATGGCCATACCGCCCGGCCAGACCGCCTTCCCGCTGAGCGGCTACTGCGTGGCGGACTGCACCCGTGCCGCTCTGCCGGCCACGGGCATCATTGTCTTCGGCTCCCAGCTGCACACCCATCTGCGCGGTGTCCGCGTCCTCACCCGACACTTCCGCGGCGAACAGGAGCTGCGGGAGGTGAACCGCGACGACTTCTACTCGCACCACTTCCAGGAGATGCGCACCCTGCACTACAAGCCACGTGTCCTGCCGGTGAGTGCCACAGATCCTGAGCTTCTTACTTTTCATATGACTCATTTTAAACCTTTAAAATCGACTGCTGATTACTTAAAACCAAGAAACACAAATATCCATATTTTAGAAATAATTACGCAAAATGCCTTATATATTAGAAAGTTTTTGTATATATAATACCATTTATTCTTAAGCCTGGCCCATATATTTTAGGTAGTTTGTCTTGCTATATAATATAGGATTTTGTTAGATAAATATTAATACATTTTTAAATACTTTCTATTTTTGTGGGCTAGGTTTATATTTTCATTATTCCGAATTTGCTGTGTCATTTTTTAATTTTAGTTTAAATGGTTTATATTACAAAAAACTATTGTCTATTACACTATTTGGGGTAAAAAATGTACAATAGTATACAAATAATACATATGTATATTATAAATTCTAGTGCTTTCTTAAAAAGTAAGGGACCGTAGTAGCTTCCAATCTCGTTACTCAAACACTTCTTACACTTTGGTGTTGATTTTCGCCCTTCGTTTTAGTTTCAACCTTGAAATACTTGTTATCCATGCTACCATCTACCATTAATTTTTTAGGGCGACGCCTTGGTGACCACTTGCTACTACAACACGAAGAATGACAAGACCGCCGCCCTCGGCGGATTCTCCATCAGCGACGAGATGTGCGTCAACTACATCCACTACTACCCGGCCACCAAACTGGAGGTCTGCAAGAGTTCCGTATCAGAGGAGACGCTCGAGAACTACTTCATCTACATGAAACGGTGAGTAGTATTTAAGCCTTAAAAACCTGTTTTAATTTAAGTTCATGAACATGTATGTTTGGTCCCCAAAAACTCTTTTAGCCCAATTTTAACCAAAAGCCTATTCTATTTGCTTAAATTCGCTTAAAAGAGATTAAAGTTTTAGAGAGAGTTTACTATCTTTGCTAAAAACGTATTTCTTTAAAAGCTGACAGCTATTAATAGTAACAAATATTGGTAATGGTTCAAAAAAGTGTTAAATGTGTTTAGCATTCATGATTACATAAGATTAATTTGATAACATAAGATATAAGATTTGATTTGATAGCAAAATCGCCGAAACCCCTTTGTTAATAATATTGAAAATTAAAACTAATTGATAGTAACAAAATAAGTGTTTAATTTGTTAAGCAATCATACATAATTTTCATAGGATTGATTTGATAAAACTAGACTTGATTTGATGGCTAAATCCCCGAAAACCGGCGAAAGCCCTTTGATTTCGAAACACGCTGCAGGCAAATTCCAGGCTTGCTCATTCCGAAGTTTGCGGTATCCTTTTCTTTTTTATTATTTTTTGTTTTTTTTTTGTGCTTTCCCTAGCTTTATTCAACAATTATAACGCCCATGCACATTCATGGCATTCTATCCATCCGTCCCGCGGGCGTTTGCGGCGTTAATGGAAGAAATATTTTTTAATCTACGCAGCGAAACCGACGACAGACGACGTCACAATGGAAGTGGCGTGGATCTAGGGGGGTTTTGAGGGGCTTTAGGGGGGGTCTTAGGTGGTAAAAGGGAGGTCTTAGGGTTTCTAAAGGGGGAGGGCGGTCTAGTGGGACTTTAGGGTGATGAGCGGTGGCATTGTGGGTTTTCATTAAGGGGTTCTTCCGCTCGGCTCCTTGTGCATCAAAGGGAAACTTTTCGGCATTCCTTTTCAAGGCCCGATTCCTTGGCGCATTCATAACGCCGAAATGCTCTTTGTTCCGCCCCCTTTTCGGCCGCCCTTTTCGGCCCCCTATATTCCCATTCCCATTCCCATTCCGGCTGGCCCAAAAGGTGTTCGCTAATTGCCAACTTTAGGCAGTGGATGGCAAAGTTTACATTAGATTAGGGCCGCCACAAAGGGGGGGGAGCATTATCCATCCGACAGGTGAGAGTCGCAAATGGAAGTTGCTGGCTAAAGTTCAAGTTATTGTTGCGGCTACACTTTCCACTCAGCTGGCGCTTAGCAACGCTTAAATCATTAAATATCGCTTGGCATGGGGATATTGTATAAAAGTTTGTTTGTATTCAGCATTAGCATATGAATACACAAACGTTCAAGAGGTGTTTTATAGTTATTGGTTTAGTCGGTCTATTACTAAGTATTAATTTCGTTTTTTCGTCTTTATGGCAAGCTAAGAGCAGGTTTTAAGTCATTTAAAAAATACTATTAGTTGATTAAGAACATTTTTCGTATTTTTAAATAATGTGTATATTTATTTTTAAGTCTTTTTATAAAATTCTCCCTGAGTCATAACTCGAAGTATTAAAATCAGTTCAATTAAAACTCATCCAATTGCATATTTGCACTCCATTTGTGTAAGCGATTTGCACTGACGAACTTTTTGTATGAGTGAAAAGTTTACCTTTGTACACTGATACAAAAATGGAATAGTAAACATCAGCATTTGACTTTTGTATTCATGTTATATGTTATGTTATATGTTATGTTATGTTTATATTTAGTATTCAAATTAAATGTTTAAATTAAATTTAAATTAAATGTCTTAATATTAAATTATTTAAATTATTTAAAAAAGAGCTTAACATAAGTTATACATGGTTTAAATTTAAATTCAATTTTCAAATATAAAAATCAATTCCAAAAATAGTCAAATGAAATATTTAAATAATATGTAATATTTGAATATTTAAAATACATGAAAATCAAAGCGATAAATATTTAAATTGAGTATACATTATTGGAATTTGCTACGTTTTTTCACAATGGTAAAATAAGTAGGTTTTATTAGGTCACCAAGAATGAGCTCGTATTAAATTTAGGAATGTGTTGGAGGATCCTGTATCCTTTGACCCAATGACCCAGTTGGTCATTACTTATTGATTACATTTTCTTCAGAATGTGTTTGGGAATACATTTTGAGGATCCTTCATCCTTTCACCCAGTGAAACTACCCAGTTAGTCATTACTAATTGATTATATTTTCATTGACATCCGCAGCACGGAGCATCAGCATGGCGTGCACCTGAACGGAGCCAGGTCGTCCAACTACCGGAGCATCGAGTGGACTCAGCCCCGTGTCGACCAGTTGTACACCATGTACATCCAGGAGCCGCTCAGCATGCAGTGCAACAGGTCCGATGGCACTCGCTTCGAGGGGCGTGGCAGCTGGGAGGGCGTGGCGGCGACGCCCGTCCAAATCCGCATACCCATCCACCGCAAACTGTGCCCCAACTACAATCCGCTGTGGCTGAAGCCGTTGGAGAAGGGCGAGTGCGATTTGCTTGGGGAGTGCATCTATTAGGGTCCTGTGCATTGGGCATTGGGCATTGGGCATTGGGCATTGGACATTAGGCATTAGGCGAAGGGCGTAATCCCAATGGCTGGCAATGGGGGCGTGGCATAGGGCACACATACAGAAGACAGACAACAGCACACACATCAGCACACAAATCAGCACACGCACACACGTAATGAATTATACGGGGATCATAACTTCAACAGTCGTATTTCCATGACCTGAACTAAATCATGTTTTATTTTGCAACTTTAACATAATACTTTGTTTCTGATTATATATTTATATATAAACTCAATTTTTGTTTGAACAAAATTCTGTTTTAATCTGTTAATACACTTCTTTGAGATATTATGCTTTCATGTGAAATAAATCCCATGATGATTTTCAAGAATAAATGAAATGAGCTCTTACTTTTGTTTGGTTTTTAAATTACAAAAATTAAGCTTTTAAGTCCGTTGATAAATTAAATCAAGGACATCTTTCTTGTATTGGTAATTTTAAAATTAGCTTTAATTTTATCAATACAAATTTAAAGTTGTTTTGGCCCTATAGGAAAATATTTCAAAGGGTTCATACCCTATATTAATGAAAATGTATATAAGTTCTTTATGGCGAAATCGCCTTATTTTTTATCAGAAGAAAATTTATCTATCATTGCAAATAATATGTTGTTATTAGTTTTCTGTAGCTAGATTGCATTGTAAGTGTTTAAAATAGTCAACAATATTTTGATGAACTCATTTTTATTTTATGTGATGGGCTTAAGCTGCGAAAAACGTATTTTTATGGAAGTTCAACTGTAGTCGCTAGGTATTTACCCGTTCATCTGGATCGCCATTAGCATTATCAACGTCCTTTTTGTGTGAGTGTGTTTGAGTGTGTGTGTGTGTGTGTGTGGGCCAAAGTGAAAGCACAAGGGCAACAGGCCAAAACAAATGTTTTCACTCTTTAAATAACTAATGCATTTACCAATCCCGCCCATGTTTTTTTTCCCTTTTACTTTTGCTTTCGCCTTTGCCTTTGGCTTGTGTTTGAGTTTGTGTTTGTATTCGTGCCCTTTGCCCTTGTTGTCTTGGCCAGCCTTTGAAATTTGCCGACTGACAGCGCCGCCAGGCTAAAACGTTTAACACAAAGCAGCTTACAAGGCATGGCCCACACACACACACACACACACACACACACACACACAATACAAGCACACACACTAACGCACCCGCACTGAACTTGTCTCAGACTAAATTGTAGCATACTTCTCAGCGGCAGCTGAAAAATTAAATGGCCAACTGACTGAATGGAACGGAACGGAACGGAACGGACTTAAATGAACGGGACGAACTGGCCGGAATCACGAGGGCCAAGAAAATGGGTTGACTGGGGACTGGGGACTGGGTTTCTGGGTACTGGGTTCTGGGTACTGGGTACTGGGTACTGGGGGGACTGTTTATACAATATAAATGAGCAAACTTTTGATGCAACCCGACGTTGCCAAGTCTAATTACCAAGAAGCTCGAAGAAGACGCGCCAAGGCGAAAGGGCGGACAAAAATCTAAAAAAATAAAATAGGAAGATGGCTATTGGTATATTGGAAATGTGGAAAGTTGGCACCACTTAAATGGGGGCAAGGGATCATGGGACATGGTAGTTGGGCTACCAGCAGCCAGGAGCTTACCACATGGACCCATGTATTTTTGAATATCTATCCCTCAATATTTCACTTTCATCTAACCCACACAAATGCACCCACGCACACATACACACACACATACACACACACACAGATACACTAAACATACATTTGAGTAAACATGTAATGGATACGTTTAAGTGTAGCCAACATACATATGTAAGATGTGATAATTGTTCTATGGCTATAAAAGAAATATATATACACATGAATATATAAACTATGTAGATGAAATATTTATAAAAAACAAAAACGAATCGAAAGCGAAACCAAAAAAAAAGTAAAATGTATAATTTATCTAATAAAAACTGACCACCATACCAGAATTCAAATCTTTTTTTTCCTTTACATAATAACTTATGGCCAGAAAATGGGGGGAAATTGAATAGATCAAAGTACACTTACAACACACTCTTAAATTTAAAGTGGAGGTTACTTTAAATTGGATTACGTTACGGAATCACGGAAATCCCTAAGTGTTTGATATTATTCGGGAGCTTAACCCGTTCAATGACGGACTCTCGGTTTTTATTGTCCTTTTTGCACATTTGATCCTTAAGCGCGTTGACTGACGACCGGCCATTTTAATTGATTTTTCAGTTTTGTCCACAATTTTTGTGTGGCCAACGTACAAAAAGGGGTATGGCGCAAAGGGGCGACGCGGGGAGCAATGGAAAGTCATGAGAGTATTAAAAACGCTGCAATCCAATTAAAAGTTTTTAACGAAACAACAAATATTTTAATATTCATTGGTGAACACGCACACACCGAAAATTGAGGGCGCTATAAAAAGGAAGAATGCTAACAACTACATTATAAAAACGATGGGCGATGAGAGGATGTGTAACGTTTACAGCACAGAAAATAAATATTTTAAATTTGTAATCGACTTAAACTAAAAAGTATCTACAATTAACCATGATGTGTAGTACCCTCTATGATTAGATTTGGCAATTTTTTAAGGAACGTTATTCCGACAATACTGTTTGCCGAACTCCTTGAGGTAATTTTTTTTGCATGGATTATATTTGGAGACAAAATATAAGAGCTTCCATTCCATTAGCATTATTTCATCAGACGTGGAAGCCTTCAAGCAGATGACAGACTCCATACATACGTTCCCTGTTGCAGCCCCTTTCGTTTTTCCGGAAAAGCTGTGTAGCAAAAAAATAAATAAAAGGAAACGAGGAAAAAGTCAGACAGAATGAACGATAAGAATGAACATTGAAGGAGGAGGGAGAATGGAATTCAGAATACAGTTCTGCGACACTGGACTAAAAAGAAATGTGTTCAGCTATTTTCTGAAATAAAATATCCATAATTGCTTTTGTATGATTCAAATGAAAAGAATATAATTAGATTAATCTGAAATAAACATTATAAGAAAATTTACTTGGACAAATTCATTGCAAACAAAAAAAAAACGCAAAGTAAAGTTTTAAATGGAAAACTGTTTTGTATTTATATATACATATTATATAAACTCTTTTGCAAGCTTTCCATATATTTTTAAAACATCTTTTTGAAAAAGTAATGAAACATATTGAAAAGTTGAATAACTAAAATATTTTTTTATAATTTTTTTTTTAATCTTTACAGTAATATAACTTTCATGTAATATTCTTCTCATTTTTTATGGTCTTCTTGAGAGCAGTGTCACACGGACAGAGTGGTTCGTTCAAGTCAAGCAAAGTCAACGGCAGATTCCCGATTCGTGACAGCGAAAAGTCAAGTGGTCGCGGCGTATGTGGCGTATGCGTAACGTAGCCTAACGTAATGGCATACGTGAAGGCATCGTTCCCTGCTTGTGTGCGTGGCCATGAATGTGTGCGTAATCGCTTTTTTCGGGTTGTTGTCATTGCATTTTCACGCTCGCACACACACTACACACGCACACACTTTCAGCGGCAGAAGCAGAACATTTAATCAGCCCAACCTCCATCGTGACCGCCTTGTTCTGGTTAGTGGAAAAACCTGTTCGTTACAGTAAGGCTCCCAATTGTCGATCTCTGAACCAAGTAAATACTGTTTCTGTAGTCTGAAGAACAAATTATAAAATTTGGAAACGATGACGGTGTTACAAACATTTACACTTAAATCGATGGCACCAATAACAACGGTTTACAATTTAAGTTAAAATGTAGATTTAAGATATCAGTGTATTTGGGAGTGTTAACTTGGCCAATATACGACATAAAATTTCCAATCGAATGGCATTCACAGTTAAAATTTTTTCAGACCCTTACAAAAAAATCAGAAATTTGGACAAAAACTAATTTTTGAAAAAACGTTTTTCAAAATTCGGTTTTTGTGTCAAAACTAATTTAATTGTTTTCAATCGACCAGGGATGGATCGCATAGGTTGCCAGCTGTTCAAAACTGCAACTCTTTTGATTTTGGCCTTATTTTGGCAAAGTTACAACAAAAAGACTCTTCAGAAGTAATTTTGTTTGAAAAATCATCAAAAATCCCAAAAAACACATTAAAAACTTGGTTTTTGTGTCGAAACCCTGGGAAATAATGGTCAAAATGTGAAATGTCCTACACCGTTGAATTCGTAATAAAATTTACAATCAAATGGCATTCACAGTTAAAATTTTTTCAGATTTTCAAATTTCTGCAAAAAATGATGATGTACCCCCTTACAAAAAAGTCAAAAATTTGGACATAAATAAATTGTTCAAAAAACATTTTTCAGAATTCGGTTATTGCGTCAAAACTAATTTAATTGTTTTCAATCGACCAGGGATGGATCGCATAGGTTGCCAGCTTTTCAAAACTGCAACTCTTTTGATTTTGGGCCTTATTTTGGCAAAGTTATAACAAAAAGACTCTTCAGAAGTAATTTTGTTTGAAAAATCGTCAAAAATCCCAAAAAACACATTAAAAACTTGGTTTTTGTGTCGAAACCCTGGGAAATAATGGTCAAAATGTGGAATGTCCTACACCGTTGAATTCGCAATAAAATTTACAATCAAATGGCATTCACAGTTAAAATTTTTTCAGATTTTCAAATTTCTGCAAAAAATGATGATGTACCCCCTTACAAAAAAGTCAAAAATTTGGACATAAATAAATTGTTCAAAAAACGTTTTTCAGAATTCGGTTATTGCGTCAAAACTAATTTAATTGTTTTCAATCGACCAGGGATGGATCGCATAGGTTGCCAGCTGTTCAAAACTGCAACTCTTTTGATTTTGGGCCTTATTTTGGCAAAGACGAAAATGAAATCCTTTGGTGGAAAATCAGGATTGAGACTTTTTATAAAAACAAGTTTTTTAATAGTTGTTTTGTTATAATTTGTCCTAAATTAGCCGCATGCTAAGGAACACTGTTTTCAGCACCTATAATCCTAACAATTTAATTTAAAAAAAAACAATCTGAAACTTTTTCAATAACCTGTTGCTATTAAACAAATTTTGATTTCTTTGTATTAATGAAGTGGAATAATCTGCTATTTGAATTCTATTTGGGTTTCTACAAGTTCGACCGAAATTAATTCGTCACACAGAAGTGTTACTGTAGATGTTGAGGTTACGGTTGAGGTAAATGCTGGGGTTGAGGTTGAGGTTGAGGCTTAGTCCCGGATTCTCGCGACCGCGTGGCATCATTACTGTCATCGGCATCGGCAACGGCATTCCCATTTCCATACGCCGTCCACGCCCACGGCCACGGCCACGCCCACTCCTACCACTAACATTTCCCTTTCCCCACCGCAGACTCATTCTGCTAAAATATTTATCTGTGGCCCAATCGCTGGCGTGTGTGAACGAGTTTGCGGATTGGGAGGAGGGAGCAAATTTAATGTCACAAACTTTTGATGTGTTCTAATTTATATACAAACAGACAAATAGACAGACTTGCAGACGACAGCGTGGCTTCTTTATCTTCTCGTTATACCCTTCCAAGGGGGAACTATTGTTCCTATATTAATAAATAAATACCATTAATAAATACCATGAAAAACAAGTACTTTAAAAAGAGTTAACTATAATTTGTAGGGGTATTTCGATAGTAAGTTAAGCATCTAATCTTTATAGGTTTTAAATTCTAAAACTGTACGATGGGTATATGAAAACGTATGAAATATTCGAATTAAATTATAAATGGCACACAAGTACATATTGCATTTTATTTAAGGTATGTAAATATCGACATACCCTTAGGGTCGGCCCCGAATCGTTAAAGTAAATTTGTTTTCACGCTCGACGGCGAATTGTGCGACTTGCCCGATCTTTCCACACCCCCTTTGGTTACTTCCCTATTTTTTAGCCAGACTTTGGCATTTTCTCGCCCCCGAAACACCAAAAAACACGCAGCTTTGCCTTGCATTGGAAATTTTTCGTGCGAGCTGTGCTCTTGTTAATATTTCATATGTCATCGCAAGGAGTCCCCAGAAATCCCCCACGTACCCAAATTCCACCTCCCTGAATTTCCCTGTAAGCGGCCACAACTCTTAAACTCTTAAATCGCTTGCGTTTAAAAATTTGATTATGTGACATTTTGCGTTCAGCTTTTGTGACAGCATAAAGGGAAGGAAAAACCGAAACAAAATAAAAAAGGGCAAATTAAATTTGTACACAGATTCACGTTTTTTTTTTTTTTTTTTTTTTTTGGCATTTATTTATTTTTTTCATTTTTCGGTGGTGGCTGATTGTTGCTGTTGTGGTTGTCATTGCAGGAGGAGCAGGAACAGGTCCTCCGCACGGAGCCTGTGGTAATTTCATTCCCTTTTATGAAGGCTTTTCCGCATTTTTGGCATTAAGAAGCAAATAAAAGCAGTCATTGTGAGATGATCGACTTAACGATACCCGGTATATAAATAAAATGTGTTTTCTTGCAGCACTCATTGCGGTTTTGATTTATCTCATTTTATATTATTTAAAGCATTCAAAACGAGTTCTTAATGTCATATAAATTATTATGAATAAGGTTATACAGTTAAAACAAAAACAATATCAAGATATATTAGCTTTAGAAAATTAAAATATTATTTTAAAATTTAAATATTTATTAAGGTGGTGCCAAGGCAATTGCAACTCAACTACCTTTTTTTTCTGAAATATTACAATATTATAAAATAAATAGGTAAGCAAAATTTGTTTTTAATTTGTTTCTGTTCATGTATGTAAGTTATACATACATTTTTCGGTGTACCCCATCAATATATTTTTTTAATATTATGAAACTTTAGAATAGTGTTTACAAATTGCTTGAATGTTAATTATGAACTCATCTTCAAAAAATAAACTTATAATTTAAAACACACCAAAATGTTTGTCAAGATCAATATTTAATTTTTCCCAAGGCCATTTTTTACCATACGTTTTTTTTTTAGCCATTTTGTGATCTTTGGTGGTCATTTGTGAGTATTTATTTATTTTGTGTGCGCTGGCATTAAGCGACTGAAATCGGCTTAAATGCCCCTGTGTCGCCCAATCAGCGGGGGCGAGCGGGCGTGGCAGCTGGATGGGACTTTGGGGACCAATTGCGCATTGTGGAGCGGTTTTTATTTTTTTTATTTCTGCTTGCTGCTTTGTTTTATGCATAATTTATGCAAAATATCGAAGTACAAATTGACATTAATCAGTATGCTTTATTGACTCGCCCATCGCCGCCGGTCGCAGGACTTTTGCCAGGATAGGCTTTGGCCTGAAGCTCACACCCATCAAACATCAAATATCACCCATTAACCATTACCCATTACCCATTACCCATTGGGAAAATGTCAGAGTCGAGATAAAGCGGCACTCATGGTCGATGACATTTCTGGTGTGTGCTCCACTTTGTACCGACCCAACATTCCCATTACTTAATCAAGAAATTCCTTTTGCCTTTGACTTTGCAGTTTGCCACCCCAAAAATCAGACAACCACCCACCACCCACCGCCCAGCGTTAATGTCCTTTGCGGCCTTTGCACGTTTTGTGTGTGTGCCAAATAGGGTATCCCCATTACCCCTTTCAAGCCAAATTTTGTATTCGATTTTTACTATAAACTGACTTTTGGTTAATTATTTAAATATCAATTGTCAATACATGCATATAACTTAAATAGCAAAATTCCATTTTTATTAGCGCTTTATTTATGGCTCGAAAACTTCGAATGAATTTAAGCAGCATTTAATAAATATGCAACCAATAAATTCTTTTAAATATCAGATATATAATTGCTGCAATTGTGATTTTATGCATTGAATAGCATAGCCTGGAAAACCAAACATTATATAGTAAATATAAACAATTGTTTTTAAAAAATAAAAAACCATCTCATACTCTCAATGCATTGCACTTGAATTTGGTTTTAAGTCAAATAACAATCCCTACCAACTGGTATTTGTAATATTCCCAAAAATTCTCTCACTTAGACTTTAATAGGGCCAATTTATAAAAAAAAAGCTTTTTGTTTCTCTTTTTGTTTAAGTGGTTGACTTAGATAGTCAGAAGACAACAGCAGCTACATTAATTAAACAAATTGTTTGAATATGAAGTGTATTTCCAGTTCGGTTCTGGATAACTTCGTGATGACTTTCCTTCTTGTGTTTTGTTGATAATGAAAGTGACTTGACATTCCGCCCCTTGTGGCTTCCAGTTGTATTCGCTGACCTCGTGCCCTCTTCTTTGAAATCTTTTGGGGGTGTGGAGTTCACCAGCAGGAATTCGCAATAAACGTGGCCCCGGGATGGGATAAGCCAAAGCTCATTTCAGCTGGACTTTGGCAGCGGATAAAGGTTGATTCCACGGGACAAGGTATTTTATGGGAGAAAATATGACAAGTAGTTTTACCAGTTGATCGTCACCAAAACTTTTGATGATAACAAAACAAAATTTGTGATAATTGTAATGTTTAATAAGTATATGCAGTATAATGCCAAACGTATCTGACAGCCAAGATTTAGTATTTTACTGTACATATTTACAAGGATATCAATACAGTAAGCCCTGTTAATCTGTAGTTTTTCAAACGTTGTACACTTTAAAGACTTAAAAAATATCAATGACTCGTAAGAAAATAATGGTTTTACTCTATTAACATTTTTACGTATCCTCCGCATTTCAATATATGATTGCTAAAATGGGTGAAGAAATAATAAACAATATTTTAGTGGAAATTAAGTACATGTTATCAAAGATGAATGGCTTGTGATTTTCCAAATTAAACAAAATTATCTTGGAAAATGCGCAAATTCTATCTTTATTATTGAAACTGGCAAAAGGTTACAGTTACTTCATCTTCAATATGTTAAAAAACTCAGTTAGTAGTTTTGTTTACAATTGGAATTGCAGGCATTGCATTTAAGCAAGCGATTGTGACTACCCAAGAACGGGCTCCTGGGACATCACAAACTCCGGAATGGAAGTCGGTGCCGGGGTTGAGCTCCTGGAGGCGACTTCATTCACGAACGCCCCGGGAAAGTTGTCCAACTTGCTGGCCACGTCCTCCACCCGGCAGCACTGCACCAATCCGTAGGCGGGGAACTGGTGGAGACTGGCGAACAGGCTGCTCCTCAGCCAGGACACCTGTTCGCACATCGAGGAACACAGGTCGCTGGAATTGCCGTGGCGGTACTGCAAGGGCATCAAGATCAGGAAATTGGAAATAAATATATAAAAAGGGAGTTCCAAAAATTTGATTTGAGTATTCTAAAATTATTTTAAAATCCTGCATACGGATTAATGTAACAACCGAATAATATTTTTTGGGCTTAACGACTTACAAACGTTATTATAAAATTAAAAAAAAAATGCCATGTCAAAATTGCCCCATTGAAAACTAACATAATATAATTAGCATACACAAACACCCAAAAAAAAATTGTCATAGAAACCTAACTATTGTTACAGGAATTTGGTATCAAAAATTTCTCAATGAGATGAGTATTCAATTAATATCTCGAAAGCATAAGATTAAAACTAATGTTGTTTAAAAATAAGCAATTATTAACTAAAGTTTTAGTCTTTTTGGTTTCGAAATGAATCTAAAAAGTATAGGGGTTACGTTAATTATTATTATAATTTAAAACTGTCTGTAGTTTATTATCAAAACACACTTATTCAAACTAAACTTTCAGTTTTTTTTTTTTGTGGGTATAATTCCTACAAAAATAAACATAATTTTGTTCTCTAATTCTTGTATCTCTTTTTAAGTTAAAATAAATTTTCAGTTTTGATCCATTATTTTTTATGGTCTATTGTTTACCTGTATTAAAGCACACTACAAAGCATTGACATCACAGTAACCACTTGGTGTGATCAGTGTTTTCTGTGACACCCCCGCCGACTATCTGAGGATGCAATATGCTATTGTGGATACGTACGAATGGCGAGTTGTGTCCGATGATGACGAACTCGTCCTGGACGCCGCCAGTTGCCTCCAGGGAGTGCACATGGGCCCAAATGTGGGCGGGAACTGGCTGGGAGCTGCCGTCAGCCAGTTCGATGGCCAGCGAGCGGCTGGCGTTGCAGGATCGGCCCACGGGCAGCGGCAGCTCCAGCACTCCGGAGACGCCCAGCCGAACGTCGAAGTGGACGCCGGCTGAGGTGGCCACTCGCATCGCCGTCACCCAGTGCTTCCAGTTGCCGGAACGCAGGGCGCTCAGCCAGGTGGTGCTCATCATGTCCTCGTAGCCGGCCAACTGGCTGTCAACAGCCTCGTCCTGAACCAGACTGGCGGACTGGAAGCCTCCTCCCAGGAACAACTGCGCCAGCTGCTTCTCCTTCACCATGTAGGCGTCAATTTCGGCCTGGCTGCTCGAAAATACACTATGTAAAGAGCAGCCACATCTATCTTATTCACTGAAACCCACCTGACGGACTTGATTAGGTTTTTGCTGTACGTTACTTTGATGTCCAATCCGATATCATTTAACTGGCCCAACTGCGTCTGTTAACAGGAACCGAACATCAGATTAAAAAAAGTTTCATAAATAAATTATTAATGGCCTACGGCTTTAATAAAACAAAAGGTATGTTTTCATTTCGCATTTAGTATTTTAAATATTGTATTTTCCATATATTTAAGTGTAATACAATTTTTAATATGTTTAAACTTTAAAAGAAATTTATCTTTTTTTTAAGGACTATAAAGAATACCAACGTTTTTTCAAGATATTTTCCAATTTAAATTTTTTATTTCTTACTACTTCAAGGTCTTCATATTGTAGACTTTCTTTTTAATTTATTGCTATAACCTGATCTTTATATGTAAAAGCAAAATGTTATATGTTATATTATTATAATATTTTTATTATATTATATATATATATATATATATATATATATATAAATGTATATATATCATTTATATTATATATATATATATATTATATAATATATATATATATATGTTTAGAAGCATAAATTTTTTTGGGTTTTGCATTTTCTGTGATTAGAAACTTTTAAGAAAAGAAAAATCTTAATTTTTTCTATGCCTTAAGTTTAAAACTGCTTCGAGAATTTCGAGATCATGGATATATTACGACATTATAATTCCTACCTTTTGCAAAATGCGGTTCTTTGTGGGGAACGTTGTGTAGGCGATATACTTCACCCGCGAGGCGACAATATCATAGCACATGGCGGCACTTTTTATAGACCCCATTTCATCGAAGTCATGACCCAAAATGAGAGTCATGTCGCCTTCGCAGTTGGGCAAACTGGTCCTGCTCTCAAACAATTGAGAGACTCCTTTCAGACAACTCACTTTAAGGCTTCTGAGAGTATCATCGCGACTTGGACTATTGAAATAACCATCAGATTGGCAGCGCAGAGTATGCTTAACATCGTTAATTTCAAAAACTTGGTCATATCTGTTATAATCGCTAAAATCGGAATAAATATATTTTATTAAAAACTATTTATACACTTTATAATATAAACTTAAGCTTCCCAATACACTTCACTTCACTTGTATTCATACAGATTGGTTAGACCATGTCGTCACAATAATCACCTAGAATTTTTAAAAATTCTAGCCGACGTTATTTATAGCTTTAAAAACGTTTTTAGGTTTGCAAAATGTATTGAGTATTAATGAATTAAGAAGAGCAAATTTTTATGAGGGTCTGTTAAAATGTCTGTCGAATCAAAATCTGAAGCAAAGTTTAACATTCGAGTGTCTTGTAAGTCACTCTGAATTAAAATGAATTAATTATAATTATGAAAAAAAATGTCCACAATTATTTGACTTAATAGAAACTTATAAATTATAAACTTTTAAAAGCTTCTTTGTCTTTAGATTGGAAACGACCTATTAGTTCGAAATGTTAATCACGCAATTAAATGAATAAACAATCTGCAAACCTACATATAAGCGAATGAAAATCCGCTGCCGCAAAACAACTCAATTGTTTCGCCTGTATCGCGTTCATGTGTTCCAGCGGAATCGGACAATATCTTTTTGGATCCAAAGGTCGTAACGATCAGTGGAGCGTTGGAGGTTGTCTGAAGTTCACAAGATCCCATTACATCCTGGGACAGTCCACAGAGAAGCGAAAAAGCAAAAAACACGGTGTATAGCGGCCACATAGCGACGGTTTTAGTGCTCAACTGATCGGGTCTCCCAACGCGATCCCTTTTTATAGGGCCGCATTGCTGATAGTGCAAAATTTCGTATCGCATTTACGAATCGTATTTGTACACCGACTACTGACGAGTGCAGTGCTAAAATTGATAACCCAAGCCAAATCAAACATATATGTATGTAGGGTATAAAAAATAAGTATATGTTTAACAACACTTTCTTTCGAATTATTCTACAAGTAATTGGAAAGCAAGAAGTAATGTACACATTTATTTGTTAACTTTAGGAGAAATAGATTTAAAAATATCTCTTTTAAGTCTACGCTATGCAATTCTTCATCTTTTAGTGCAAAATGATCAATTTACATGATTTTGCATCACGTTTAAATATCTGGAGTTACAAAAAAATAAGAAAAACGATTTAACTATACTATATACTATATATAACTACGAGTATATTCCTAAATCTAATTAATCATGAAAACGAAATGTGCTCGTTGGCCCCAGAGTGCAATTGTTGCTGAAAGACGAGTGTGTTGATAAACACATAAATACTCAATTTATTTATATGAGAGTAATTGTGCACTTAAAGCAGAAAACTTTGTTATTTAAAGTTGGCACATAGGGGCGTGGCAGCCAGTGTTCGACGCCCCTTCTATGGCTAATATGGCTTGCGGTGAACATCAAAGGGGGGGCATCGCGGGGGCATCACATAGATCTTATTACGTTTGAAAGGTTAAAGACCTCGCCTAGAAATCACAAAGTCCTTTTCTCCACTTTCTTTTTGTTTTTTTCAGCACTTAAAAATGAACAAAAATTAAAAAAAATTAACTTTATGATTACCTGTTGATTTATGTAGAAAAAATGTGTAACAAATTTCAGAACAATCGGTTTGATAGTTTTGGCGCTAGCATTTTCGCAGATTCCAAAAATGGCATTCGTGAAAAGATCGACTTAACGCTTTTCTTAATCAAAAATCCATCAAAATATTGTAGATTTATTGTACCCCCCTTTTAAGCTTTTTTACGTCTTTGACCCATAATAGAAATGTTTTTCCTTCATTTATTAGTTATTTGATTTTAAATGTTCACATAGTTATTCGTTTGTGGAGGTGCAATTTAATTAATTATTCCGCTTATATTGTTTACATAGTTATTTATCGGTAGTGGTGGCTGTTGCTAGCACTCCAGATCTTGAGCCGTAAAAGGAATCCAACTTCTGGGCCACATCCTCCACACGGCAGCACAGCATTAGGCCATTGATTGGATACCGATGGAGCCTGCCGAAGAGGGTGTTCCTCAGCCAGGACACCTGTTCGCACATTGATGGGCAAAAGTCCGCAGAAGTTCCGCCTCGGAACTGCAAAAAGAATACAGAAGGAATAATAATATGATACAGAAATGCCTAGTTAATAATAAAAACACCAAAGTAGTAAACTAATTAAATAAATTTTAAGTTAATAAGCCAATGAATGAACTTAATTTTATATTATCAATATATTATTAAATATATATATTATTTTCATATTTTATTTATTATTTGAAAGTTATATATATTTATAAGCAACGTCGAGTTCAAGCAAAAACTTCGATTAATATATTTTTTATGTATTATTTTCATTCTTAAAACTTGCATATGTGACATAAATTTATTTTCCTAAAATTAATTATCAAATATTTTGTACTCACAAAGGGGGAGTTGTGCCCGACTAGGACGAACTCGTCCTCGGGCGTTCCAGTTGGTTGGAGGGCTTGCACATGGGCCCAAATGTGGGCGGGCACCGGGAGGACGCTGCCGTCCGCCAGGTCGATGGCCAGATCGCAGCTGTCCGGGCTCTCCGGCATCTCGATCAGTCCGGAGACGCCGAGGCGGATGTCGAACTGGTCGCCGGACTCACTGGCCGATCGCAGGGCCGCGAGCCAGTGCCTCCAGTTTCCGGTGCGCAGGTTGTGCAGCCAGACGATGCTCATCATGTCCTCGTAGCCGGCCAAATCGACGCCCAGTGCCTCGTCCTGGACCAAACTGGCGTAATCGAAGGGCCCGGTGCCGAACATCTGCGTTAGCTGCTTTTCCTTGCCCCAAAAGGCGTCCACATCAGCTTGACTGCAATCGGAAAAATAGTTGAAATTATTAATTTCAAATATTGTTTCTGTACTTAAATGTGATGATTAGCAATCGTGATTATTATTATTAATATTATTATTATTTAAAACATAAAGCAAATTAACAATTTATTTATATTGTATTTTCTGAAAATTTTTTTTCTGTTTTTAAATGGTCTTTAAAATAATGAAATATATTTAGTGTGTATAACTCATGTAATGTAGTACTTGGAGATTGCTAGAACCATTCTTTTTTTTTTGCATACACACCTGGCTATTTTAAAAAAGCGATCGCTGGCGTTCACATTTATATCGAAACCAAGTTTATTTAATTGTCCTTCTTGCGACTGTAAATAAAATATCGAAAAATGACAAAAATAACATATAAATGTACGAAGAAAATTAAAGCAAAAATTCTTGTCCTGCATCAACTGAAAAATATTTAATAGTTCTTATAATAATTTTAGTTTTTGATATTTTATGCTGCACTCAAAAAATGTTCGCTAAGAGAACACCTCTGATGCAAGTAATATAGTTAAGCTGTTATTCAAAATTACTTACCATTTCGAGGGCTCTGCTTTTTGTGGGATACGTCGTATAGGCTATGTATTTCAGTTGAGCTCCAGCGATATTATAGCACAAAGCCGCACTTTTAATTGAACCCATTTCCTGAAAATCGTGGCCCAAAACGAAACTCGTGTGCTCCTTGCAGTTGGGCAAACTGGTCCTACTTTCGAACAATGCAGCCACTCCGTTTATACATTCCACACTTTTTTTATCTCCATCGATTCTCAATCCTTCATGGTTTTTGAAAAGAAAACTTCCATCTTTTTGGCAGCTCAACGTTTCCGTTGTGTAGTCAGAAAAAAACTGATTTTTACTAGAATCATTAAATGTTAAAAATCATGAAATGTTAAAACAAACTTATTTGAAAGGAGAACAGATTTTTCTGAAAGTTTTAAAAACAACGACCTTATGTCGGTGTTAAGTTTAAGCACAAACCCATCATTTTTGAACAAGAATCCAGTGCCGCAATATAAATCGATTTCTTCGCTCTTATTTCGTTCTATTAAGTCGGAATAACCAGAGAGTAATGTTTTGGAACCGATGGTTGTTACAACAAGCGGAGCTTTCTTCAAAGTATTTATTTGACACGTTTTCTCAACATTCGAGTTGTGCATTGCTGCAGCGAACAAAACGAGTAACAAAAGCGCTCCTGCTGCCATAGCTTGATTTTAATTATTGACTGATTGGGGAATGATCGATGGGAATGAATTTATAGGGTTCTCCGGTCGAACGGACTGCTGATTCTGCAACATCTCCCATCAGACGACTTTACTCATCAGTTCTGTTTTCGCGATAACCCAAAGAAATAAAGTACAACTTTCAAATTAAACGTTATAACGCTGTTATTACAAAGAAGTAGAATAAGTGCACAAATTAGGGATGTTTTAATAAACTAGAAACAGATTGGTACTTCTATTTAAGTGGATTTGTTTTGAAATTTATTTTGGCAAAGAAAGTCTGTAGAACAGCGTCAGTTTCAATTAATGATTTGTTTTATGTCAATTTCAATGTCAAAAGTTAAAAAAAAACTACTATTTCGTGACCGCAGTTTAACATATGTACATCTAAATTTCCTTCAATTCATTAAATAAATAGAAAAAACGGGAGGCCATTGTTTGTCTGTACAAAGCTGATTAATCGTTTGTGCTTCCTGATCTTGGGATCCCCCTTTTTTGCAATTTCCCACAGCAAAATGGGATTGCTGATTATGGATTTCCATTTGAGTAAGCGTGCGCTAAAATGTCTGAATGAAAATCTGTTTTATTTAGATCGCTGCAACAATTTATTTGTTGGCCGAACAAATTAGATTACACTTAATCTGTCCAATCAATCTGTATATAAATCAGCAATAAAAACATATTTATTGTTTATAAACTTTAGCCTTATGAACCTTATACACACATACATAAACACAGTGGGCACTTTATAGAAAATATAGAAAATATTCGTATACTTATTTTGCGCACTGTACGTGCATATGTATATTCTTAATCAAGCAAGTTAAAAATATATTTTAAGTAGTTTTCTTTTTCAATTTTAAATGACATCTCCGGACCTTTATCGATATTAAACCACTCTACGTTGTAGAATAAAAACACACATTTTGATTTTATTTTTTATGAACTTTTGTTTATTTTTTTTTTCGGATTTTCTTTGTTTTTCTTCAGTTTTTTGTTTTTTATTTGTTTTTTGTTTCATTTCTTTTAGTTTTTGCTTTTGTCGGCCATTTCATTAATACTAAGTGTACGCATTAAAGGTAAAATATGTTTTATGTTTTAATTGTTAATTGGTTTCCTTCGATTTTTGTTTTTATGTTCTCCTTCATTAATTATAGGCTTACTAAAAAGTGTTGTATATATGTAGTGAATGCTAAAGGGGCCAAAATGGAGTCATGTAAATGTAATGCTTTTTATATCAATCCACTCTTTCTGCCAGCCCAAATTGTTTCCCCTTGATTTTTGCTTTTTAATTATAATAGTTATTATTATTAGTTCCTGCATTACGTTCCACACGTAACGTTGCTTTAAAGTTTTTCTGTTTAGCGGTAGGCGCTTAAGGCTAAGATCGTTTGCTTTTACGTTTCAGAAAAGTTTTCGCTATATGTTACATACTCCTCGATCCAGCTATCCAGCTATCCTGCTATCCTGCTATCCTGCTATCCTATTCCTCGTCCTCATCGTCGTCGTTCGTCTAGTTAATGCCCTCGTTAAGTAACAACAAAAGGTCAACAATTAATTGCTAATATGCCAAATGCATCTGCTAGAACTTGGGCGATTTGATCAGATTGGACAAAAATCAAATACGTCTCATTCCCATCGGGTGGTGTGTTAAAATATAAATTTATATATATATTTATAGGTGTGTGTGTTATATTCATATATGCAAATAAATTGTTCATATCAGGGTTGTCATCTATATAGAGGTGTTAATATATATATATATATGTATGTGTTTACTTTTTTCACTGAATTAAAAACTTCTTTTTATTTGAATCGTTTGTTTTTTTTCTCAATTTTTATTTTCATACATTTCTTTTTTATCTCCTCGTGTGATTTATTTCTCAATTAAATGCTAAAAATTAAGTATAGAAAAAAAATGTTTCTCCCTTTTGTATATGTATTTTTGATGCATCTTTTTTTCGTGTGTATATATATATATATATAGAAAGAATTTGGGATATTTTGTGATAACTTTTTTTTGCTTTCTACTCGCTTTCCAAAAAAAAAAAAAAACTAATTTACACAAAACGAAATGACATTTCCTGCGAGTGTACATAACAACTTAGGGACTGGGAAATCGGGTAAGTCGGGGGAAAGATACGAATCTATTGACCGCCTCTATATACAAGGACATACACGTATCCCTAAGAACACCCACCCACCTGCCCACACACACACACACAAAATAAACTGAAATCAGAACCCAAAATTTAAATGAAATATACAATATGAATTTTCGTTTCCAAAACACGTGCATTATACAAGCACAAGTACAATTACATGAATCATTTCGTTAGCTTTTACATAGATAGTTGCTATCTTAATTCCTATTGCTATTACAGGATCAGAGTCCCCGATGGAAAAGTGATCTAGAAGGAGGGCCTATGGAACTATATACAGGGACACATTGACGATAAGGATCGGATACATGCAAATGGTAAAGATATAGACGAAGATTATACATGGAAGACGGCAGAGACTCCAAACATGTATCATTATTTTACTGAATTGTCACTGCAATTTGGGGGGATAGCATACTGGCACCTACTTGCGAAGGCTTATGGTCATTAGAAAAGAAATTACAAGTTACATTCCGTCGATTCTTCCATTTTCTATGTTTGGTTTTGGGCGCTCGCTCTTGTTACATACCAAAAAAAAAAAAAAAGGTCGTATCTACTTAAAAACTAAATTTTTTTTGGGTTTGTGGTTCTGGTTCTGGGTTCTTGTTCTGCAGATTATCTGGCTCACATATTTTTCTCCAGTGTGTGCAGATGTGTATTTATGTGTGCGAGTTTCGTTTGTGGGTGTTTTTAAATTACATGTGTTCGCCATCAAAAATTAAAAATCATAGAACAATATGATTCCATAAGATTTTCTCTCAGCGGGTCCGTGGGATGGGGAATTGGGAACCGGGATCGGGATCGGGAACGGGATGACTCTATGTTAAATGACATATTTTTTTTTAAATTTATATAATTGGATTCGTGTACAGACAACTGCGAATGCTACTGCGACTGCGTCATCCCCTTGCGGATAGATACATTGAACTGATTTCGTTTCGTTTTGTTTGTTCATTTTTTTGTTGGGTTTTTTTTTTGTTTGTTTTGTTTTTTTTTGTTTTTAAATTAGTTAACAACTCTAAGCATAGGTGTGTGTATATAATTAAGAAAAAAAATAAGCATTATCAATTACTTTTAGAACATACAAACTAAACTTGCCTATGCAATCAATAATATTAAAAATAATAAGCTTTGGAATCATGTGCGGACTTCCTTGTCGCGTCGCCACGATCCATCATCATCGTTATGGTAATACACAGTAATAATCGAAAGTGATAAGTGATTTGTAAAAAAAGTTGTGTGAAGAATCAATTGCTAACCGAAGGAAATTTGCCATATTTTCTGTTATGTTGTATTGTTGCTGCTGGGTATTTTGCTGCTTCTGGGTTGTTGCTTTGCTGGTGGTTTTCACTTATTCCTTTTTGTTTTGCTCGCGCTCCTCTCGTATACGCACTATATATATTCTCACATAATGTACGTATATTATTTACGCCTTAGAACATTGCTTTATTGGTTTTAGCTTATGCTGTTTGTTTTAGTTTGTTGGTTGGTTGGTTGCTTGCTTGGTTGGTTGGTTGGTTGGTTGGTTGGTTGGTTGGTTGGTTGGTTGGTTTGCTTGTTTGTTGGTTGGTTGTTTGTTTGTTTGCTCTAACAGTTATTTTTCGAACTGTCTTCGTTGTTGCTGTCCTAGCCGTGTTGCTTTTGCTCTTGCTCTTGCAAGCCGTTGTCCAACGTGGTCCTTGGTTGCTGGCGCCTTGTCCGCCGCTTCGATTGGCCGCCGGTGGTGGAGGATGATGAGGTGGTGGTTGTGGTTGTGGTTGAGATGATGCCATCGCCATTGCCATTGCCATTGCCATTGACGCTAATGCCCCGGTTGGTCGACTTTCTCCGGGCCTTTGCCTACAGCGTCTCCTCGAAGGCAGCCATGAGATCGCTCTGCATGTTCATATCAATTTGGCCAGCCAACTGTAAGGCATTTGGCATTCGTTTAGTTTCGGAGGTCAGTATTATATCGGCCGTGTAACTTACCGCTTCGCGCCTGCGCCGCTCCTGCTCGGCCCGCCGCTGCTCGGCCCGCTTGGCGGCCGCCCGATCCTGTGGCGATTGCTGGGCCGGCGAACTCTGGCCCTGTCCGCCCGGTGACGCCTTTATGTCATCCACCCGCGATATCTGCGGCTGAGCATCGTGCACGCTTTTCCTGCAATTTGATGAAAAATAATTAAACGGTTAGAGAAGGTCACACAATTATGCAGTTTTAATGTATCCCGTTGAGTTTTACGCGACTTTGGATTCAGTTTCCTTTTTATAGTAAACTATAATTTACAAATTTTTTTTTTACTTAACACCTCTTGTATTCGGAAATTCATTTGCGTTACAACATATCGTATATCATGCCATATAAAGCGTACAAAATGTATTAAAGCTTTTATTTGTATAGATTTATAGAGATCTCTTGCGATATTCATTTTTAGAATCTGGCTTTTCTTTTACTTTAAGTTATATTATCGCTTTAATTGTTATTGGAAGTTAACCAAAATAAAAACCTTAATGTTTAAAGATACAAATAATCCTTATTCTTTTTTATATTAATGGTATAGATCAAACCCCTTCAAATACCCTGAAGACGATCTCCGATGGAGTTCGAAATATATTGGATCATTAAAGAACACCAACAACGATCAATGAATTCTCTAACTTTACTGTCCCTTGTGAAACTGTCTTTACTGCCGCATTAATTCCGGTTATGGGGGGATATAGCTATAGCTCACCTTCCGCTCTCCATGGCGCCCAAGGGCGAGGCGGCCAGAATCGCCTGGGCGGCCACAGCGGCCGCCACATGCTGGGCCTGCGCGTTGGCCGCCGCCGCCGTCAGCACCGCCACCTGCTGACCGTAGTCGAGGGCGCCACTGCCCATGCCACCGCCGCCGCTGGCCGGTCCTCCTCCTCCGCCGCCGCCGCCGCCACCGCCACTGCTGCCCTGGCTATTGGAACCGGGTCCGCCGCTGCCAACGATGCCACCGACGCTGCTGTTGCTGTTGCTGCTGGCGGCGCCGCCGCTGCCAACACCGCTGTTGCTATTGCTGCCGGCATTGAGCAGCGCTGGTCCGCCACCACTATTTGGTCCGCCGGCGCTGGCCGGGCCACTTCCTCCGCCGCCACCGCCGCCGCCGCCACTGCCACCGCTGCCCGCACTGCCGGGTCCATTGCTGTTGGCCGAGTTGCTGCTGTTGTTCCCATTGCCCGACTGACCGCCGCCGCCGCTGCCGGAACGCTCTCGCTCCCGCTCGCGATCCCTGTCACGCTCGCGATCGCCACTAATCGACTGGTTGCTGCTGGCAGGCACGCCACCACCACCACCACCAGCACCGCCGCCGCCGCCACTACTGCTGCCGCCCGAGGCGTTCGAGGCACTGGAGGCCACAGCCGATGAGGCCGCCGCCGCGGCCGCTGCTGCTGCTGCGGCTGCAGCCGCAACTGCTGCCGCTTGGGCGGCCGCCGCGGATGCCGACGAGGATGATGACGAGGAGGAGGACTTGTGGTGCTTGCGCTGCTGCTGCTCCTTCTCGGCGGCCTCCTTTTGGTTCTTCTTCTCCTTCTCGGCCGCCTCCAGCAGCTTGAGACGGTCGCGTTCTTTGGCTTTGTTGCGGAACTGCTGGAACGAGTCCATGGCCGGCTTGGCCTTGCTGCTGCTCGAGCTGCTCGACGTGTGCGACTGGGGCGAGTTGGCCGAGGCCAGCGAGGACCACGAGCTGGCGTTCTTGAGGTTCTGCTCGTTGGAGACTTTAAAGGCCTGCGCCAGCTTGCCGTGTGCCGCTGCAGCCGCCGCCGCAGCCGCTGCCACCGCCGCCGCCGAATGACCCTTCATGTCCGAGGGCGACTGCTGCGGCGGCAACACCTTCTGATGCTGCTGCTGCTGCTGCTGCAATTGCTGCTGCTGTTGCTGCTGCTTGTCCGGCGGACTGGGCATCATCGATTCGATGGGCTTGGGTATGATCAGCAGCTTGTTGGCCACCTGCTGCTGCTGTTGGAGCTGCTGGTGGAGCTGTTGCTGTTGCTGGTGCAGTTGTTGCTGCTGATGCAGGTGTATGAGGTCCAGACTAGACTGTTGCTGGTGGCTCATTCCTGCAACGAAAATAATTTCAAAGAATAAGTTACAAATGTAGGTTTATAAGGTAATCTGTATGCTTATTGAAAATTAAAATAATTAAATATTTGACTTTATATTTGAGCTTGGTTAGATCAAGTTTTCAATCAAAAACTCCTCTAAAACGCACCTTTAACTTATAAAATAAACCTTAAATAGCGAAAATATAATTTTTTAAAATTACCGAATGACAAGATACATAAATACAATACAATAAATACAATTCTTGTGAACAACACTAACCAATAGAGTGTCTAATTAAATTATCGTTATTAATCATACATCAACACAGGTAGAAAAATAAAGAACAAATAATGCACACCAGCACAGTGAAACATTAACATTCTTGCAATGAATCTCCAGTAATATAGTAAAACCTAAATAATATTTAATACAATTCATGTAAATAGTACTCACCAATCATATGCTGCGTTTGCTGTTGTCTCTCCTGTTGTTGCTGCTGTTGCTGAGGCGTCTGCAGTTGTTGCTGCTGTTGCTGTGGTGTCTGCAATTGCTGCTGCTGTTGCATCTGCTGCTGCTGCTGCTGGAGCGTGTGCTCCAGATCGAGGAATGCTGAGGCCGCCTGCATATCGAATCCGGCCATGCCGAAGTCGGCCACATTGAAGCCATTGTTGTGCGCCTGCTGCTGCTGCTGTTGCTGCTGATGCTGCTGTTGCTGCTGCTGCTTTTGCTGGTACGCCGCCGCCGCCATGTCCAGATTGAAGTTCAGCAGGTGGTTGCCATTCATGCCGCTCACACTCTCCGCCCCTTTGGTCAACAGTTCTGTCACATAGTCCATTTGCTGCTGCTGCTGTTGCTGCTGCTGCTGCTGTTGTTGTTGTTGCTGATGGCCAAACGGTTGTTGCTGCTGCTGCTGCTGCTGGGGTCCGGCGGGTTGCATCAAATGCTGCTGCATCAAAAAGTTGTCCGTCAGCGATGGCTTGCCCGTGGAACCGGCGCTGAACTCCAATGAGGCCAGCGACTGCTCCACGGGATCATCGAACTGCGGTATCTGCTTGAGACCTGAGGCCAGCGAGGCATTGGCCATCGCATCCCCATGCGCACCACCGCCCAGTGGATTTGTGTTGTTGTTGTTATTGTTGTTGTTGTTGTTGCTGTTGCTGCCGCCAGAAGGAGCGCCGGACGTCAGGGCAGCCGCCAGTGCCGCATGATGATCGCCCAAATCACCGCCACCCAAGCCGGAGGGCTTGTTGTGCAGATTGCTGGCTATGCGAATGCCGCCGCTCGACTGACTGCTGCTGGCCACACCTCCTCCGGCTGTTGCTCCTCCGGCGAAACTGTGCGACAGCAGGGCGGCGGTGATGGAACCACCCAGCGGCACTTTGCTCAGATCGTTTGGTCCGTTCTTGTTGTTGTTGTGCTGCTGCTGCTGTTGCTGCCCCGCCGCCGTCGCTGTTGAAACTGCACCAGCGGCAACTGGACCGAGCAACATGTTGCCGGCGGCGCTAGTGGGCGCCCCACCGAAATTGCTGCCCGGCAGCGATGTCTTGTTGTTGTTGTTTAGCATGGCAGCTGCCGTCAGTGGATTGGCATTGCCCAGCATGTTGGCTGCACAAAGGATCACAAAGGATGGGAAGAAGGGAGGAAAGGGGTCACATAAGACAAGCAAATTAGTCGCGCACATAAAAGAATTTAAACGGCCAGGGCTCACACAAAATCTCTAGGTTCTCTTAAGCAGTTTCCCCCAATTGCACTATTTTTTTATATTTCTAAAGTATTTCAATTTAAATAAAAAATCCTCAAATTTTCAAGAAGATCCGAACAAAATGAGAAATATATGATCATTAAAAGAATGGTCCAGTGTGCTAACTTTAAACTTCAATTGCGTTTTTCTCGAAATTACAAAATTAAATTAAGTGACCAAAATAGCTTAAATAAAATAATATTTTATAAAAGTAGTCTCAAATCGTTTAAGAAAAAAATCGAGTTCTTTTTTGGTGAAAATCGGGAAAAAGAGGTTTTTAATCATGTTGTCAAAAGTCTATATATTTTTTTAAGACTTGTTTTATGGGGTTATATAACTATTAAACTATTAAAACTTTTTTTTCATATGATCACGATCTCCATAATTTTAGTAATACGAAAAATTATCAAAATATATATAATACTTCCAATTATTGTTTGCCCTACAGCTGGGGGTAACCCCTTGTTCAAGAACCTAAGGTAAGAGATTTCTGTGACCGTCTACCAACTAGTTGACTATACTTACACATTTGTGATGTGGGTGTGTTGGAGTTAACCACATGATCCAGGCCCATCAACATGGTCGTCGGCGTGAGAGCGCCGCTTGCCAGATTGCCGCCCAGGACAACATTTATGCTTGGATTATTTACCTGTTGGTTATGATTTTCAAAGACGGGGGAAAAACACGGGATAGAAAAAAAAAGAAAAAGGAAAGAGGGAGATGAGCACATGTGGTACAATAACTTTGGTTATCACAACATTTTTACAATCACAGTGAATATGCGTTGTGTCGCTAGTACTATTTCCATGGCAATGGGTTAGTCAGGAAATTATCATCCAACGATCATTGGATTATAGCATAATTTAGTCATCAATAAAATCGATTTCAAATTTGTAATTATACTAGTAGTTTAACTCTTGGCTCAGATACAAATGTATCTTAATTTTTATGAGGGATTTTAGGCTATACTAAAATAATAACTGATCAGATGATTGTCAAACGCAATAAAACATAACCCATTGCCAAAGTTTACAATGTGTGGTGTATTTTATCTATTTGTCTGTGGTTTTTACCCCTCCTAAATTCCTCAATCGGATTTGTATACTGTCACTGTACATATTTCGCTAGTACTTACATTGCTTCCATTCGAGTCTCTGGATTTTTTCTTGCGCGGCGGTCGTTCGTCACCATCACCTGTTGAATGGGGAATTTTAGAACACAAATGAGAGCGGTTAACAAAAAAAAAAAAACGGCCTAGGTCGCCACAAGGAAGAGAGCTAGTAGGTGGATAGGTATAATAAGCAACAAGCTAGGAAAAACACCAGGGTGGACCTCAATTTATGACAAGTGACATTCAGAATAGCTCTGTGAATTTCCAAATATTCATGTAAATCGTGTTTGATTCAATTTAGTAGAAATATTTGTATGATTCCATAGAAAGTAAATATTCCATTTATATTTTATGGTTTGACAGTTAAAAAATATTGATGACCAACTCGTATAAAAGCATATCTTAAGATGTATATTAATATCCATACTCTCTGTTATCTTTGTTTTAAATTTATCTCAGATTTCAATCGAATTGTTACAAAATAAAGCTTGTTTCATAAAGGCAATCCTTTAGTTTATGAACAATGTTAAGCCCTTGACCAATTTTAAGCATATTGAGATCCGCCCTGATAGGCACAAGCGATAGATAAGGGGACTTAGATCAAATTCGTAAATCGTATCGTACAAAAAATTACGGTTTACATATATATATAGTATAGGAGTATTAAAAATACCTCTTACAATGCCGATCGATGAAACAATTGTGTCGTGGTGGGTTTTCGTGGTGGTGGTTTTTGGAGTTTGGTGGATGAGCAGCCGCTTTTCAGCGCTCTTTCTTCTTCTCTCTGTCTATCTGCCTTTCTCCGCCCACTCTCTTTGTGCTTTACTTTCAATATCTAAACTGTAAATGAACTGAAAAAGAATGGCCAGAGACCCCCTCATCCACCCCCTATTTTTTTTTCTTTTTTTTTTTTGCACCAGCCAAATGGATAGGGGACAGTGGATAATCGCAACCAAACCAACCTTCAAGGCTCCAATCATCGATATATGTTATTGGTTTTGTTAAATAATCGTTACTTTTGATTTTGTTATCGTTAAATTATTTCTCCTCTGTGAATAAAAATACATTTTTGGGGGCAATGAGCAAGCAAACACACAGTTAATTTTTTTTTTCTTTTTTAATAAACATTTTCTTTTCTCTTTTTCGTTTTTGTTTGTTGTATTCATTGCGTTTTTTTAGTTTAGTTTAGTTGTTGTTTCGCTGCCGCGGTTGCGCTGCCATTTTGTAATAATAAATATTATTATTGTTTTTACTATAAATATTTAAATGTATGCGTGTGTGTGTTTTCATAATGCTAAATGTGTGTGTATTGGTTGGTTTCTTTTTTTTGTTTTTGTGTTCGTGTGTCGGGTTACGTTACGTAGTTCGCGTCGTCCGTTCTTTTTTCTTTCTTTTTCCTCCCTCTCCATTCTTTCTTTCTTTCCCTAAGATTTTCACTATTTATCCTTGCGTTTATTTTATTTTATATTTTATTATATTTCGCTTTTTTAACTCTTTTTTTGTGTAAGACGCCTGCGCAAATTGAAACCAAAAATGCAGTTTTTATATATTTTGTTTTGATTTTAAATGTTTTGTGTTCACAACTTTCTAAGCGGAAATTCTGCTTTAGTTATTCCTGCAAGAATTTTTTGAGCGTGTTTACATGTTTGTAAATTTGGTGCAGTTGCATATATCTGGTATGCTTTCTATTCTTTTACTACAGGCTATACAAAAACACAAAAAGTTAGGCTTAAAACAAAACAATTTCAATATGGGATAAAATGGATGGAGAAGGCGTTTATGGGGTGTGTTGACCTAACGAAAGTACAAAAGCTATTGCGTACATACAAAAATGTTCGGGTCCTAAATAACAGGCAATTGAATTTGAAAAATAAAAACAAATAATTAATTCTAAAAATAATCTGTGGTTCAAAAATGCAACCTTCTTTTCTTGACTGTCTCAGTTTCTACACTGCTTGGCTTTTTTCAACTGCTTGCACTTTATGCTTCGCTTTTTGACCGTTGAGTTTTACGATTTAAAATTAAATATTGTTACATTTGTGTCGTGTGGTTTTGTTTGTTGTCGTTTATCATTATTATTGTTGGTTTTTATTTCATTTTGTTTTCCTCCTGGCGATTTTCATTTGATTTGATTTAATTCAATATTAAAAATTTATATTTAAATTGATTTTATGCAATTTTTTTTGTTAATTTTTCTTTATTTCCATTGCATTATCATCTCATCTCATCATCATATCATCAATCTCCTCCTCGTCTCTTCTATGCATTTTTTTGTATATTTTCGTAATATAATATATATATTTTTTTTTTTGAAAAAAACGTGCAAACAATGTGTAAAGGGGAAAGCCGACAGCCGAAAAATAAATAATAAAATGCTTTTAAAATACATTTAATTATTTGTTCTTTTTTGTAGTTATTTTTATTTTATACCTCTTTTGATCATGTATAGCATCGTATATGTAAATATAGCTATATACATAGAACTAGTTGGAGTTTAGAGCTATAGAGCTATACTCTATTACGTAATGCTTGGTTCCATTCCGATTCGTTTCGCTTTTATCATACCGATATACCGTTACTACTACAGACAGAGGCAGACACAGTGGCAAAGACACAGAGAGAGACAGAGAATAAGATAAAGTCAGATATATAGTCAAGTAAGCCCGATGCCGTTACCCCTCGTTAAGTTATCGATTGTTTTTGCTCCCGTCAGATGGTTTTTGATATTTTGATCTGTATTTATTGTTTTTTTTTTTTTTTAGTTATTGTTAAGCTGTCTTTTCGGTTTTTCACTCATGGAGTCCTTTTGGAAGTTAGCTGGAAGCATTTCTTGTTTACGGATGACGGTTCTCCCACATTAATACACATAAAGTTAATGACAACAACAAATAATTAACCACGAATTAATGATATACAGAGAGATGTTAGGCAGTTCTCAATTCTAAGTGATAATGCGAACAATTGCTCGCGAATTGTGCTAATTTCGGCGTTTCAAATACATTTGTTCCGTCTGGAAACACTTGTTTTTTGCTTTGAGGTTAAAAACGTTTAAACAATTAATAACATCAAATTCAACATTCACATTTGTTATCGGACTTAATTAGACGTAAGTTGAATTATCCCTCACATTTTTCTGGCCCCTCTTATTTTAATTTTGGGTAATCCCCCCTGTTTAGTTCTCTCATTCTCTCTGTGTTTTTATCTCTGGCAAATATTCATACGTATTCGATCCTTACGTTGTTTATCTGAATTACGCATTTTTTGTTTGTGATTCGGTGTTCTTTTTCCATTTCTTTTCAAAGCTTTTCATACTTTCTGTTTTTTTACACATTGTCTGCAAGTGTATCGAGGATTTCATAAGTTTTTTACATACTTTAGACATATATGGTATTTTTGCTTGCTTTTTGGTTTATTCAGTTTTGTTAAGAATTTCATATTATGGTTATTGTTCATTTTCAATATTATTATTATATTTACACATAGTTCAGTGGAGGTTGTGTGATTGTTTTTTGTGTGCGTGTGAGTGTGTAGTCCAGTTTATTAAAAAAAAAAACATATATCACTCGGACTCAATTACAGACTGGATGAAGTAGAATCGTCATTTGTAGGGTTTAATTTAGTTTATTGGATTTATCAAAAAATAAGACTAGAAAAAATATGAAATTGGCACAGAAGTATTCGTTTCGGGGACTATGGGGTTTTAACCCTGGAAAAGTCGGCGTAGAAGATTCATCTGATTTCGCCTTGTAAGTGACATAACAATAATGGGCTAATGGTGGTCTAGTAAATACAGTGCAAATCCTTGATCAGTTAAGGTTTGGTTTTAAGTAGTGGTTGGAGTGGGTGTATGTTAATGATGATTGATGAAGGATTATTCTCCTGAGCTGCCACTTAAGGATAGACTGGTGATGGGTAACTGAGGGTTATCATGTTCGTGGAGTGTGGATGATACGTTTTTATTTCGATTTATTCGTTGATCTTTTTTCAATCATGCATTTTTGCTCTGCTGTTTTGTAGATTGATGGAGTTTTGATTTGGTTGATTGGTTCGATTGGTTGGTTTTGGTTTGGTTGGTTGGTTGATTGGTTGTAGTTGGAATTCATTACTTTCTTTTTCAGATTGGCTGCCCCCAATACACAATTGCTTCACGATTTTTTCAGCATATTCTCATAATAATCATAATAATAATAATAATCATAATATTGGTAATAATAAGGTTTTTCTTGTTCTTTTTTTAGAATATTTTTTTTTTGTTTTGTTTTTTTCAAAAAAGACTTAAAGTAGTAAAGAGTGTGCTTTTCACTTATTATTCTCATTTAAGATAGTTGTGTATGTGTGTTGTGTAAGATTTGTTTTCTCATTTTTTCATTTACAAATACAATTCGTTTAATACCTACAAATGCTTAAATATGATATATGTGTGTGTGGGTGTGTTTATATAATTAAGTATATACTAGACCTAGATTTATATATAAATATATATATATATATATATATATATATATCGATTAAATAAAGTTTTGCCGTTGTGTTCATGTTGTTTGTCTGTGTTTTGTGTAGGTGATTGGATAAAATGGGGAGGGGTCAAATGGTCTTATGGTTTTATAGGGATCTTTCCAACCGTCTGATATTGGTATAACATAGTAAGCCAACTCTTGTTCGGATCAAGTGGGAATTGAAACTAAAACCTCAGTGCAGTTTATATGTTTGTCAGCAAATTTGTTTAACAACTCTGCATTCAACTAATCTTCCTTTTGTTTGCATTTTATATGGAATATATGTTTGTTATCGAACTATCTGAATAAAATCCAATTAAATATTGATTCAACTGAGGCATTTTACTCGTTCTCCAATTTACGTTGCTAAATTCCATATATCCTTGTGCATTTTTTTCTTAGAGTAAATGCATATTGCACTTTGTCATGAACTTGGTTCTTGGGTATTCTTAAAAAAAAACACATTTTTGTAAAAAAAAAAAAAAGTTAAACAAATACAAAAAATAAACCTTTGATAAATAAAAATCGCCAATCAGAGTTGGATTTCCCGTTCTTGGGGGCTATTCAAATCAGACGGTTGCAAAATGGAGGAGTTTCGTTTTTGATCTGGGGCCGTCCTGTTAATTTCTTATGTTGTTTAGCACACAAAACATAAACAAAATGCGCTAAATTCAATAAATTAAAAATGCTCGGTTAGAGCGAGACAGTGGGTAGTGGGTTTTAGTGTGTGTGTGAGCGGAATAGCTTGGTCAGTCGGTCCTTAATGCCCCATTTCCACAGAGATCCATCCACCTTCTATCATCTGATTTCAGCTGATTTGAATAGCTGTGGCTCACGAAAACATAAACAAATATGGTTGACCTGTTTACTATGTTAACGTTTTGGCGAGCCACAGCTGTTCAGATCAGCTGTAATCGGAAGGTGAAAGGCAGATGTGCTCTGTGGAAATCGGAGTTTCATGTTTGTTGAAAATTCCAACCGTTTCCAACGGATGGACTGTGTGGAAAGAGGACATAAGAGCTGTAATACCATCATCATTTCCCCTCTCGCTCTCTCAACCACTACGCTGTCTGTTCTTGTCTCCTTCTATTTCAAATGTCAGTGTGGGTGTGCGTGTCTGTGTGGGTTTTCGAAACTTACTTAATAAATGATAAAAACAAATGTTAAGCAGAAAAACACATTCAATAAACTTTACACTTAACCTTATTGGCATATATTTTTTTCGTGTGCTAATAGGGTAGCTATTACAATATAACTAGATAAACCTATATCCAATTGAATTAATTAAGCCAATCGCTCTGTTCAAATCTCCTGATTCTGTGCGACTTAAGTATTAACTCATCCTTTCCTTTTCATTCATTACTTTTATATATTTTTACACTTTCAACGGGCTCTAATGGTTTTCCTAGATCCTAGACTGTTCATTACTCGTTCGAATCTTCTATTCTTTGACTTATGCCACGCCCGCCCCGCCCCTCTGCTGTTTGTTTTTTGGGTCTCTAATGTTAAAAGGATAATATAATAAAAAAAATAATGCGGTCTCGGTGTTTGTCTCTGGGTCTGATTCAATCTGAATCTGAATCTGCATTTTAATCTGCATCGGTTTCCGTATGTGTGTTAAGTGAGTTCTGTTGTTTGCTTCTTAAACAACGCATCTATATATATATATATATATTTATATTTGCATATCTCTATGTATACTAATAAAAAAAAAGTTGTATAAAATAAAACAAACAAACAAAACGCGTCCTAACCTGCTTCACTGTCGCTCGAGTCACTCGAACTGCTATCACTCGAACTCGACGACGATGAATCGCTGGAACTGGAACTCGACGACACGGGATTCGCCGGCTGCACTGCCTCGACCTTGTTCGAAGCGGACTCATCTGTGAAAAGACAAAAGAAAATGAAGCATTAGCATTGCTGAGTTGAAGGTCAAATAGAGCGGTTATTCAGTTAGGGGTCGTCAGGAATAATTGCAATTACTTTTCCGATAATAAGATACTTTTCATACCCAAAAGGTACAATAACATCTACAAATTTATTTATATACAAACATGTTTTTCTAAATTTTAATATAATCAGTTGAATCGATTTAAAAGTAATCAATCTTAGCCTCGATATTACGACTTTTCTCATTCATTCTTAAACCGCATTCTAAAGTTTTCCAGTTAAAATAGGATAACGAAAGACAAAACCTATGTTAACATTGAAATTAAAATTCCCGACTAAAGGCTTCATAATATACATACCTTTCTTGGCGGTTTTCTTGCTTGCCCCCAGCTGACCGGTGACGTCCTGCAGGCGCTTCTCCAGCTCCTGCTTTTTCTCGGCCATCTGCTCGTCCTTCGACTTGCCGGAAGGCTTTTTATCTGCGAGACGGAAAGAGGTTTAATCGTTTATATTCAGATTGATTTTCAAAGTCAGAGATTTGGGTGGAAAGGGGGTAGATCGATAGGCGGATATAGATTCATGCTCGAAACAGAATGTACTCAAAAGTTTGGGCGGGGAAAAAGGTAAAGCGGCAATGTCTCTATCAGCGGTATTATAAAAATCTCTTGAGATTCAAAAAAACCATAATAAAATGTATTTGACAGTAAGCCAATATAAAAACACTTAGGAATTTTGAAATTTTAAGAGATTTCTATAACACTTTTGCACTTCTACAGCATTCACAAGCTACTTGAGGAAAGGAAAAAGGGATTTTGTTTTTTTTGCATGCACTTTCTAACTACAGACAGTTTATCGGTAGGATGACCCCGAGTGTTGAAAAACTTAATCATAAAGATTTGCAGTATAATTGCATATATTTTATTTTTTTGAGTTTAACTAACTAAACATGACCACTACGGTTTTTGGTTCGAAATTAAAATCAAATTTTGGAAGCGCAGTCAGCAAAGCCAAAACGGAAATTTGTCCTTTTTTTTCTTATTCTTGATCTTGCTCTGTAAATTTCTTATTTTTGATCTGGCTCGGTAAGTTTATATGGTATTTTATTTTTAAGTTGTCTGATGGCTCTTGTTGTGCGTCTAACTTGACTGATTAACTTGGTCTTGGTTCTTTATCTTGATATTTATCTTTCATTAACATTTGCTGTTCCTGCTGCTTTTGCTTTTGCTGTTGCTTATGCTTTTGCTTTTGCTTTTGCTTTTGCTTTTGCATTTACTATGGCTTTTCTTGTGGTCCCGGTTTAGTTACAAACTTACAATATGGCTTACGTGTTTTTTTGCGCAAACACGACGCCACATAGCTTTCAAGCTCGCGCAGCGTCGACGGCTTCAGCGTCTCGAAGTCGATCTCAATTTCGTCGGGATTGGAGTCACGCAGCGATGGCTCCCGGTTTTGGATGATGTGCACCACACGGCCCAGCTTGTCACCTGCGAACGTAGTTGATAATTTAGTATATCTTAAGGTTTATTTTTATGACACAATGGTAAGCAGTATGTAAATACCCTTGCTTCAGACTTCAATCATTTATTAAGTTAAAGTAGGGCTCATCTCACCTGGCAACTTATTGATGTCGAGCGACAGCTGGCGCTTCTCATCGTACGACATTGGCTTGGCCGTGTCCTCCTCCTCGGAGTCGAAGTTCATCACCTGGCTGGGCTTCTTCTTGCTGCTGCCACGCGCCCCGGCGCCACCGGTACTGGCATTCGCGCCGCCAACAGCACCGCCAGCGCTCGCCGAACTGCTGCCCTTGGCCCGCTTGGAGGCATTGCCGCCGCCCGCTGCTCCTGGACCGCCGACTCCAGCTCCAATGGCTCCAGCGCCCGTTGCAGCTCCCGCTGCACCGCCTGCCGCATTGCCCGCAGCGGCATTATTGCTGGCTCCAACGCCGCCGGCGCCACCGCCCTTGGCGCCGCGTCCGCCCTTGCTCTTAGCACCTTTACTGCTGCCACTGCCGCTGCCAGTTGTTGTACCGCCAGCGCCTGCCGCCGCACCCGCAGCCAGAGCGCCGGCCAGGGTGCCCGCCTTGCCGCCCGCCGAAGCTCCCGCTGCAGTCACGGCGCCACCAAAGCCACCACCGGCCGCGGCACCGCCGCCCGCCAGCTGGTTAAAGGTCATGGCCACGTCATGCACCTGACTGTGCAGGGCCGCCACATTGGGGACTCCGCCGGCGATGGCTCCTCCGCCGGGGCCAACCAGCGATCCACTGAGCAGTGCGTTGAGACTGGCACTGCCCGCTCCACCGGCACCCAGGGCGCCGACACCGCCCGGCACCGAGACTCCGCCCGCATGGCCGCCCGATCCGGCGCCGCCTGCTCCGCCAGCGCCGGCACCGCCGCCCGAGGCGTGACCATGATGCGAGGCCGAGCCAGAGCCGGAGCCAGCGCCCATCGACTTCTTCTTCTCCTTGAGTTTCTTCTTCGCCTTTTTCTTGGCGGAGGCCTCCTCGGACAGCTTGCGAATCTCCTCCTGCAGGCCGAGCAGCTTGGACTCGAGCATTTTCAGCTTGGCGCTGCGCTCCTCGTCCGAGTTGGATTCGTTCTCCGTGTCGCTGGAGTCCTCGCTGGACGAATCGCTGGCATCGTGCTTGAGTGAGGAGGAGCCGCCGTATCCGTGGCCATGACCGTGTCCGTGACCGTGCCCGTGACTGTGGCCATGACCGTGACCATGCCCATGGCCATGGCCATGAAGGTGGGCCGCATTGGCCACCGGCTCGTCGGGGATGTTGGCGTAGCGCATCTCGAAGACGTCCTGCAGCTTGCGACCCATGGCCACAACATCATGGTCTGGCGGATTGTACTTGTAGCAATTGGTGAATATTAATCGCACGTCGGCGGCAAATTCCGGCGCGCTCTTGTACTCGCGATTGTCCATTTTCCGCTTGACAGTGCCCAAATCCATCGGCTTCTTAATGATGTCGTGGTAGTCGTGCAGGCCAAGCATTTCCGCGTCCACCGGCTTGTAGAAGGGCCAGGCATAGCCAGAGTGCTTCTTCGAGAAGAGCTCCTTGAGGATCTCGTTGCACGATTTGAGCGCATCCGATAGCTTCTCCTTGTTCTTGGCCACCGCAACGCCGGCAACACCGACGGCAACTAGACCACCAAGTCCGGGCACTCCGGAGACGCCCAGCGGCGACATATTGTATCCCGAGCCCTGGAATGTAAGATCCTGTGATTGAGAAGATCCCATCGTTTCGGTTTTGATGAGTTGGTTGGTGGTTGATTGGTAGTTGGTTTGTTGTTGGTGGTGTTGGTTGTTGATTGATTGATTTGATTGGTGTGGTTGGTGGTGTTGATTTGATCGAACGAACGATTGATTGGTTGAGTGCAAACAAAATCAACGCAAAAGAAAAGAAAAAAGAAAAATAAACAAGCAAAAAGCAGCATGGGGTTAGCATCGAAAAAAAATTATATGGTTCTAAAAGAAATGATTGCAGAACATGCGGATGGGACTTGAACTTTTGTATGTTGCGGATCAAATCAAATCCCCTCTCGCATGTCGCTTTATTTACAAATGTATGAAATGGTTTTCGAGTAAAAGGCAGGACGGCGTATTGTGTATGATTTAATCGATTGTTGTTGTGCATAAAGATTGGGCATTTCGATCAATTTAAACGGGATTTTACGCAAAAGATCAGATCGACTAAATTAAAAAATGAGCTTTGGCTTACAAGTGTAAAAGTGATCAGACATTAGGTCGAAAATAGAAAAATTCAGTGTGGCAACTAAGATTTGTGGATGTTTATTAATTCTCAATGAAATTTATTTTGATTTTAAACATTTTCAATTTGAAATTGTAGGTCCCATCGTATGTTTAAAGAATACACATATTATGATTATGGAAATTTTAAAAACTATACTGATTTGCAGACAGAAATTGAAATTTGTAATTCAAAAAACGATCAGATTACCTTGGCAAGAAAGTAAACATTAAAATCCCCTTTTTTAATTTGTAAAATTGCAGTCGAATTTGGCATACATTGGGTTGCAAATTCAATATTTGGCAGTCAATGAAATATTTACAAACAAAAAAAAACTGTGGCTCCTTTGAATATATACAAGCTCTTGGGGGACTAGGATCATACTCATACGACTGGTGATGCCCGTTACTCTTACCTTCTTGCCAATTACCTGACGATTCGACTCCCGCCGCGTCGCAATCTTGGCCGACTTTGAGTCCATTTGCGTGTACGGCGATTCGAAGGCATTGGCCGTCGGCGTGGTGGTGTCCGCCTTCCGTTTTACTCCCTTCTTGATTTTGGCGGGCTGCTGCGGCGGTATCACGGCGTCCACTCCCACACTCACGCCCGCATTCACATAGGCCTGCACGGCGTTGGCGGCGTTGACGGCTACGGCTGGTATTGTCACTCCTGCGCCCGCTGCTCCACCAGCGGCTCCCGCTGCACCGCCCGCTCCTGCTGCCGCCGCTGCCGCTGCTGCTGCTGCCGCCGCTACTGCGGCTGTACCGCCATCGAGAAGTGAGGAGCTATTGACCGCCGTCTGGCCGGGGGCGCCGGGATAGGCACCCGTTTGGCCCGCACTCAGGAGGCTGGCCATCAGGGCGGCGGCATTGGAGTTGGCTGACGCTGCACCTGGTCCACCGGCGCCACCAGCCATCGCTGTCGTGGTCGTATTGGTGCTGCCGGGTACCGTGTGCGGTGGCATTGTGCTAATCGGTGGTATGGACGGTGCACCGCCGGCCGTCGATGAAACCGTGCCGCCCATGGCGGAAACGGGTCGTGCGGAAGTCGCTCCTCCGGCACCGGAACCCGCCTGGCTACCCGGTGTGCTCGCCGCACCGCCGCCCGCTCCCGTCGCTCCTTGCAGGCCGGACTGTTGCGCGGATGAGGCGGCAGCTGACACTTTGGTGGAGCCACTACCTGCTCCACTGCTAACCGCCGCCGAGGAGGCCGTACCAGCACCGGTGGATGCTCCAGCGCCACCGGACGATGACGATGACTTGGGCGTAGCCGGCGCCCGTTGCTTCTTTTTGCCACCCTTGGCCGTAACCGGCTCCAGTTCAAGCTCCTCCTTGGGCATCGATTCGATCTTCTGGAGGAAGACTTTCTCGAGCGTCTGGGCCATCACAACGACATCCTCGCCGGGCTTGTTGTAGACATAGCAATTGTTGAACATCGTGTTGAAGTCGTGTATGGTCTCCTTGGCGGACCAATAGTAGTTGTTCTCCAGCCGCTTCTTGATCGTGCCCATGTCCATAGGCTGTTTGATGATCTTGTGGTAGTCGGGCAGGTTAAGCTTCTTGGCATCGACGGGCTGTTGAAAGGGCCACGAGAAGTGGTGCTTCCATATCACCTTCATCACCGTCTTGATCAGATATTGCAATTGGTTCGTATTGCGGCCGGGTCGCTCTGCTGGCGGCATCACCGGTGGCTGTACAATGCCATTGACTGGCTCCACGGGTGGCTCGTAACGAGGCGGTGGCTCATTGGACGACATGGTGCTGGTGCTTGCGCTGGTGGCTGTGGTGGTGGTGGTTGTTGTTGTGGTGGTTCTGGTGCTTCAGTTTGGTATGTGGGTCGTCTGGGAATTCAGGATTGAGGATCTGGGTTGATGGTTATCCGACTGAGACGGCCGACACTCACACTCCACCTACACACACACACACACGGGCCGTCTCCGTCTCCTCCTGCGCTCCTTCTTTACCTCCGGTTTGCTCCTTTTTTGGGCTTCCTCTTTTATGGTAGATTTGGGGTAGGGGTGCTTTAGTGGGTTGGGGGAGGGGGACTAGTCTTATGTGGCCGGTGACCACCTCCTCCTTCTGCGGCTGGATTCGCCTGCTCCTGCGACTCCTACTCCTGGTGATCCTCCTCCGCCTATCGTTTTCTCAGCTCCTAATTCGGCTGCTGCTGTTCTGATTTTTGATAAAAATCTCTTCTTGTTCGAGGGATAATGATGCGTAGTGGTCCGTACTGGTTGCTTCATGCTCAGCAATGTCTGTACACTATAGTTCATAGAGTAAAAGTCGAGTTAGTAAAGTAATAGTGAGTCTCAAAAGGATGGTACTCACCTCGCCTACTCCAGATTCTCAGGGCCCAGGCTCCTCTCATTGGAATCGGCAGGCTTTAGCTGATTCGAGGGCCAAGGATTTAACAAGTACGAGAGCTACTGGAGGCATTGTGGTTTTAATTCTTTAATATGGTTGCCAATATTAAAGTCGCCAATAGCAGCGACTATCAATCTGCAAAAGAAGAAAGTATCCAAGTTAGCCGGCACATTTACATATTTTGCAACTCTGGTCGTGAGATTTGCATTTCTCAACACTCCTACAAGGGTTACATAAACAAAAAATAATTAAGAGGGCACACAGAAACAGAAATAAAAATAACAATTACAATCTGCGGCGGTTGCCATAAACAAATGCGACAGTGAATCTATGTAGAATATGCGGAGGCGGCAGGAAAACGGAAAAAGGAAAACACAAAACAGAACACAGAGAAAGAAGCAGAAATCACAGAGAACGACTCAGTACACACACACAAGCCAAGTGCAAAACAATCAATTCCGGGCACTTTTTAACAGCAATCAATTCACTCGCTGGGCAATATTCCTTGTGTTTATTAGTTTATGCGTTTGACTATAGATTCCAACGTTATTTTTAGTCGTTTTTTGCGGTTTTGACGTTTGCGTTTAGTTTTTCCCTTCCACCGTTTGCTCGTGAGTAGTTACTTTGCCGCCGTTTTGGCACTCACAGCAACAGCGAAAATAGAGAAGAGGAAAACAGGCCGCAAGAGAAAAAAAACCGAGAGCGGCCCTCTCATTTTCGAATATCGAAAAACGAGAGAGCGCCCGGCTCACACACACCCACACAAGCAGAGATCACACATAGAGCTGACTCGCTCGCACTTATGATGGTAAAGAACAATAAAAAAAAACAGGCGAATGGCGCACGACAAATGCTACAAAATAAATTTTAAAAAACTAAAAAAAAAAAAAAAATTTGATAAACGCAATAAATACACATTAATGCACATGTACAAACCAAATCAAAATTTAAACAACTAGCATACACCACAAAAATGACTCACACAATCACACCGCGAGTACGGCGTGTGTTGTGTTTCCATTGAGAGAAATTCACCACGCCGCCTTTTTACTTCTTTGAAGTTGAATTCTGTTCACTCGGCAGCATGATTCATTCGCTTTGTTTGTTGTTGTTGCAGCACTAATGCAAACGCCATGCCAAAAAGGCAATAAAAAGCACGTAATTCCTACGTTCCTACGTTTTCTCACATTATATTTAACACCCTCAACTTAATGTGGTGAAGAGATAGGAAGGAGAGAGAGTGATAGGGGAGGGAGAGGTGTGAAAAGAGAGGAAGAACACACAACACAACCACAAAATTTAATAGTTTGCCTTTTGCCGATATTCCAAATTGACAGTGGTACAAATTGCATTTAAGTTGCACATAAAAATTCGTTGTACAGTTCTCATTGAATTATTTCTTGTTTTGAAAATGCTTTGTTTATTGTTTATATTAACTTTTAATCTGTAGGTCAAGCACAAACATTTGCCTTTGCTTCTTAGCCCCGAATTTTTATTGGCCAACCTGAGAGTTTTTGTTGATGCTGCGAATTTATTTACACTCGCACACACACTAAGCCACTGATGTGTGCCGCCGGCCGGCAAGCAATTTTTTCTACTCTCTTTTTTTCGAGCGCTTTCACTTTGGACTTTAAAGATATCAGCTGTATTTTTAAAACTGCATTTAATTATCCATTTCGGCCCACTGTGTTTTTGTTAGTTTCCAAGTGTGCGTATGCGAGAGTACATATGTGTGTGTATGTACGTGCGTTTGTGACGCAAAATTAAACGGAAGAAGAACGAATACAAACGGAGGTAGACAGCAAGGCCAGCCAATGATTATGACGTATTTGGCCCATTCTAAACTCGCCACAAATAAAATTGGAATATTGGGAATTATAAATATTAAATACACAATAGCGGGCGGCTCTCCCTTGTTCTCACAACAAAACAAAACATTAACTGGCACTCACACATGAGAGAGAGAGAACGGGAGAGTGAGAGCGCGTGAGAGCGGTTGTAATTATGTAGTACAGTAGACTTTGAGTTTTCAACAGAAATTCACGTAGAACGATACGATGACGTAGAGAAGAGGAAGAAGTAGAGTGTGGCGGAAGAAGAAGCAGAGACAGCAACGGCATGCATTGGAAATGGAATGGAAATTGGAAATCGTTTTTTGAAGGGGCCGAATTTTAATAATTATAATTGCCTAGATACACTTCCCCTTTAAAATCTCTCAATTTTAAATCAAAAACTTAAGCAAAAAAAACCCATTTCCTATTTAACAAATAAACAAAGGTCAACAGTTTGCATCAGTTAAATGGAGAAAGAAAACGCGTATTTACCTTTCCGAACCCATTCACCGACCACTCATTAATTAAGTATTGTTACTTCTGTCCTCCTTAAATCTCCATCCACTTGAACTACGAGCAAATATATAAATTTTATTTAAATAAATAAAATACTCAAGTGAAACACACTAGCACACATACTAATACAAACTCTCTGCTGAAAGTTGCAGCTGCTAAAGCGTGCGCCAGAGCGAGATATCAATAAGGGGTCCTACGTAATACGTAGCCAAATGCAAATATGGCGGCATGTGTGCGAGTGTGTGTGGCATTCGAAAGAAGAGAGCAGAGCTGTTGTTTTTAGTGTCTTGCTGTGTATCTGCACAATGAGAGAAAGAGCAAGAGAGAGCAAAAGTAGTGAGGGAAAAAGGGGAGCTGCCTCTAGGTTAATAAATCGTGCTAATAGTGGCACGAATTTAAAGCCGGTTTACATGACAACATGCAGCAAATGCAGAGGAAGAAGCAGCAGCCGCAGATGAAGCAGCAAAAAATGAAGAGCAAAGTCACCCAAAAAGCATCAATGAATTCGATTCGGGAGAGAGAACCACACATCGCACAGCAATTTTGCGCTTATTTACGATAAACATATCTCCAATTTTGCGGCCCGACAAGTAAACAAACGAATTTCGTTTGCCTATCCTATTTACGCGCCAACCTAGGGAAGGTGCCGCAGCAACAACCACTGCGCTTAAATAAGAGCAAATTAAAAAGCAATGCGAATAAATTAATATGCCGGTAAAAACAAAAAAAAAAAAACAAGAAAGTAAAGAGAGAGCAAAGACATTTGCCTACGGAAACCCATAAAAATCCATTAGTCAAGATCTGAAGGATGCACATATACAATTTTTACCTAAAAACTAACAAAATATACAATGCACAAAGAAACAAATGCACTTTGGCTTCCCCCTTAAATCGTATAAATAAAAATACAAATCCATGCCAAATTTAATATATATTTTTATGGAGGTTTCTTTAAGTATACTATATCATTTTAAATCTAAGCCATTAAAAAACTACAATATTTTATTCAACATTTTTTATTTTATTATTATGTTTTATTTTAATAAACTAATGTGATTTTATCCAAATAGAAGGAAAACATGTACGTTTTTTATGAACAAAAGCAAAGGATGAAAATTCCTATATCAGTACATGAAAAACTGTATTTAGTTTTCAGCGTTTTTAACAGCATACTCTGAAATCTAACAAAAACAAATATTGCCTGAATATTTCAAAAAGGGTTGCTGCTGCTGCCGTTTAAAAATCCGGCAAGAAGCAGCTGTCATTTCGAAATCCCTCACTTTTTCAGGGTTGCTGACCCCTACAAATAATATGCTAATAATCCTTGCGATAAATTTTGAAAATCCAAAAATGCACGTTTTGCGAGTTTTTCACCGTAATGTTGGAGGTGGCAGTAAAAGGGGGGCGGAGGGTTAAGCCACGTGCGCTGCACATTTCTAACTTACATTTCCTTCGGTTTTTTCTTGTTATTTTTGGTGAAATACACACGTTCTTGTTGATGCTGCTTATCCGTTTTATAGGCGATAATATATCCAAATTAAATTTTGTTTATGGCCGCGCTGCTGATTGTTGTTTATTTTTTTTTGCTATAGTTGTTACTGTGTACTGGTTGTTGTATTAGCCAAGATTAGCTTGTCGATTATGTTTGTTGTTTAAAACTGTGTTGCGTTGTTGCTATTGTTGTTGTATTTAAATTGAACATATACAACATACAGATTGTACACGACTGTTAAAAAGGTGCAACTGTAAAAATAAAAACAAAAAGATCACTTTATTTAGGCACTATTTTTATTTAATTCGCGCGCGCGAGAGAGACCGTGAGAATTCCCCAGCGACAAATACATCGAAACCCACAACGTAAACGTTCTATACGTCACCGCGCCACGTTAGAATACGTAACGGCATGCTTACGTACCGACGGCGCCGCTAAACCGCAAAATCAAATAATGCAATAACAAAATCGAAAAATTATAGATTTTCAATGTGTACGATAGTTTTGCTTGGTAGAAACAGCTAGTGCTGGTACTTGTTTTTTCTTGTTTCTTTCTGCAGAGTGAAACTTTTTCGCGCGCTTCTGCGTGTGTATTCCTCTTTTTCCTTTTTTATTTGTTAATATTATTCACTTGGTGACTACACATACGTTCACACTCATGCCCTCACACACATACACTGCCGAGCGTTTCTGCTTCTTCTTCCTCCTCTTTCGTTCGCTTTTGTTCCACCACCGAAAAAAAAATGAAAAAAAAAATTGTCATGTCCATTGAAGTCTCACATTTTTCAAAAGCATTTTTTGGCGCTAAAATCGTTGAAATTCCACAAATTTTCCATATTCAACGTATGCCCCGCAATTAGCACATCACACCGAACACAAATTTATATAATTTTTGCCGTTTTTTACCACAATTTTTTAGTAATTTCTACACACCGATATATACGTACGCGATACGATTTTCGACAAACGCGCGAGTTTCTTGTGAGTAAAGCAGTCGCCGTCGCCATCAAATATACAAAAATTTTTTTCGAAATTACTGAAAATGCGAATACACACGCACACACGGACAACGGACGTCGGGCACGAGGCGCACGCGCCTGCTCTATGTGGCTGTGCCGCTCTAACACACGGCGCATGGTGGGCATGCACGAATGCGACAGCCAGAGCTATCGAGGGAGAGAGCGTGCTAGCGTGAGTGTGTGCGTGCGTGGTGGGGAGAGCGACTGCAAGAGAGAGCCGCCGCTACACTCTCGCTCTGGTGGTGAGTTTTCATACTTCGACGTGTAAGCAAACGAGCGAGAGCGCACGGCGCATGAAAAAATGCACGATGAATAAAACGTAACAAGCGAAACAAAATGGCGCTGAGAGCGCGGAATGCGGTGCGGCGATTTTTCGATGGCGGTGCCCTCCGGTTTTATTTACTCCTCCTGATTTTTTGATTGATTTTATTCCGAGATTTTCGTGCGCCACGTGCGGCGGGGTTTTTCATTGGCTTCCAAGCAAAATTCCTCACTTTTCACCGTGAAAATCGCCCCATAAAATGTTACCTTTGTAACACTAACAACAACACCACGCTTCGGACCAGTGTGCGGCAACGTCAAAGAAGTGTACAGTACCAGAAACGAAAATATGAGTATTATCGATGTGCAGTTGAGACACCCTCCACGTGTAGTGGGTACCCCTTCCGCGCGTAGTGGAGACAGCATCCACAGGTAGTGGAGACATCATCCACATGTAGCGATGACACTCTGCAAGTTGCGATGAAAAAACATCGATAGCGCTTTGCCCAACACCAATAAAACCAAAGTTTTATTTGTGAAAATAAAATTATAAATAAAAACTAAACATTTCTGTTATTGGCTATTCACATAACATTACATTCCTATGTTAGTTCATATTGGGCAGCGCTGGGGCAGATGGAAAGCAGAGTAGAGATGGGAAAACTTCGACGTTGCCCCGCCAAACATCGATGACACCGACGTTGGCATCGATGTCTCCCCACCGCTAGCGGTGAATTGGCGTGCTTGTGGTGGGTTTGTGTCTTGCAGTGAAATGTTAGCGAAACGTCGAAATAACAGAGAACACGGGTAAACATCGATAATTCCTGCCAAACATCGATGTCGTCGATGACCCCATGCATGTTTTTTTTCCACCTCTAACCTCTACACTGGACCGAGTTGCGGACAAAGCAGTAATTATTAATTTAATCCCAAAGCAATTCTTGACTCCGATTGGCGGTCTTCTGGCTGCTGCAGCTGGTTATTTTTTTTGTGCCCCGAAAAGTGCTAAATTCGCTGATTAGGCGAATAACGGTGGCAAGTACGGAATTTCTATAATAACTGCGAGTGTGCTTGTTGTTTGCGTGCGAGTGTGAGTGTATGTGAGTGGGCAACTCCACAAGTGTGCGAGAGCAAGCAAATCAAAATAAGAAAATAACCGCCCCTGATGGAAATTAATATCGCGAATAACCAGCGAAAACGCAGCTAAAGTTAAACCAAAGTGCTGGTATTGATCAGATAGCAAGTGAAATAAGTGGGGATTACGTAAGAAATCAATGGATTCCGGCTGCATTTGACCAAAAAAGTGAACAAAAAAACCCTCTTTTATTTTTTGATGATTTCATTCGCAGTGACGACACATATGCACACACACGTAGAGTTCCGTATCGGTGTGTGCACGGGTTGTTTGTTGAGCTAAAAAAATAATGAATCCTCAACGATAATTTTTTTTTATTTTTATATTTGAGTGCAGATCGGCGACGTTACGACGCCAGTTGTTGATTACGCCTTGGGGCACCTCTTTATCGCAACTTCCTCCACCCACTGATCATGGAGTACGTAGGCAGGAGCATTAAAAGGGGCAAACGAGGGGGTTTTAAAGCAGTGGCGTATTTTTCGGGAAGGGTAGAAAGAAGTTTTTATTTATTTTTCATTATTTGCAAGATACTAACAAAATTTCACTAAATCCTGCAAGTTAACATCTCGTCAGGAAAACCAAAACTGAAACCTAAATAAATCCTCTGCACGCCACTGGTTAAACTTGTACACCCAAATGTGGGCGGCCCAGATGTTGCTCGTTTTACCCAGTGGGCGTGGGCGTCCATCCATGGTAAAAACTCTGCGCTGCAGATGCTGTTTTTTTTTTTTTAGAGGGTATCGTACTTTATGTTAGGAGTTGGTAAATTCAAAGTTATAGGCTTTCAAAGATCAATATACCAGTTCGTTGTATATTTAGTTTCTTAATATTTATATTGCTTTAAGCAAAATTGCTTGGGATTTGCGAAGAAAAAGGGAATCCCAACATATTACTTTGTTATGCGGCCTTTTGATTTGATAGTGATTTATGCAAAAGCTAAGATGGAAAATATGACTAATCTATTCACAGCATAAATTATAAATTTCTTTGTAGCTTTTTGTAGACTTGTTATGTGTAGAAATTTAAATTAAATGACCTTTCGATTTTAGGTAATCATATATTAAATGATTTGTATTAAATGCAAGGGTATTTTATCTTGGGCTTTCCTTTCTAGCTTTTTTATCTTATGTATTTTTTTTTTGGCGGCATACGATCTGCTGGAAATTGGGTTCTGCTGAGTGAGCGTGGGCGTTTTAAAATAGCTATCTAACACAATACTCATACGTATACGTAATATGCAGCCCTTCCTTGAATATTGGAATATGGCATTTTGAGCGCAGTGAGTGGAGTGAGTGATTCATTTAAGCGGAAATCCAAATCCAGTGCAGTTGACTGACTCAATGACTACTCATTGTTTCCACTCCCTCTTTGTTTACATTTTGACAGGAGCAAAAAGAGAGTGAGAGAGTCCGATGGGGAGGGGGTGGTTGGCCGTGAGAGCGTGCTAACGGAACGTGCTTGAATGAGTAATTCGCATTGCATTTGTTGTTAATCGAAAGCTCTCTTCCTTCCTCTTTTCTGTTTGTCTTCTTTTTTTCTTTTTGGACGCCAACAAAAAAAAACACGCACACCCACACCCACTCACGAATTCGTACATCAGCGCCCTTGTGTATGTGTGTGTGTGTTTGTGTGAGATGAGTCATCTGGCCAAGTTGATGAGAAAATAAAATTAAACATTAAGGTAGAGCAGAAAAAACAAAAAAAGGGGCAGATGTGGGCCCCATTTGTTTTGTTGTTGCGGTAAAATAAATCAGGGCAGGCGGGGAAAGCAGTGCTCAGCATTGTACTCTAAAAACATTACAGGCTGCAGCTGGACTTTTACTTATAGCTGCGGTCAAAATAATAGAAATCTAAATCAAGTACTTAAATTAAAAAGGAAATCTAAAACACTTTTAAAAGTTGTTAAATTGCTTGAAAAATTCTAAACATCTTATCAATAAAAGCAAATCCAATGAATTAAATACCACTTGAATCTATTTTTAGATTTGTTGTTTTTATGAATAAATGTAATGAATCCATTAAATCAATCGATAGTATTCACTCACTCTATGAATGTTAGTGCTATTATTCCTTCCGCAACTGTAGTTCTTTGGAGCAAACAACTTCCAATTGGAGAAACTAAGCAGTTCAATTGCCTTCCCATTGCAGCCGGCGCACAAAAGCGACAGAGAACGTTCGCGAGCGAGCGAGAGCGAGAGAGAGAGCACATAGCACACAGCACACCCAAGGAAGATCTTCAAGTATCCCGCAACCCGCACCAACCCCTAACATAGTCATGATCCTGCAGAGAAGCCGGAGGTGCCAACTGGCCATCCTCCTTGTCGTCCTGCTGGCCGCCATCGCTGGCCAAACGGACGGACAGAAGGCGGCCAACTTGAACAGCAACCAACCCGCTTGCGGTGGCAAGGACAAGTGCAGCAGCTGCATCCAGACGGAGTCCTGCGCCTGGTGCATGCAGCCGGGCTTCAAGGGCCAGTCTCGCTGCTTCCAGGCCAACAGCAATCAGTGCCCGGAGGAGTTCGTCTATAACCCGCGCACCGACGTCCAGATCCTACTGAACAAGAACCTAACGCTGGCCAGCACTGGTTATGCGGCGGGAGGAGGAGCAGCCGGCTATGGCGGTGGTGCCCAAATCTCTGGCGGCAGCTCGAGCTTCTATCAAGAGTCCTCATCGTCATCGTCATCCTCATCCTCGTCGATGTCCGGCTCCTATGGCTCACAGTACTCCGCTGGCATGTCGGCCAGCTCCGCCGACATTGTCCAGATCATGCCGCAGTCCGTGAAGCTGCAGTTACGCGTCAGTGAGTATTGCCTCTTTGCGGTCGCCACATAGATCTTGACCTAATTCTCCGTCGTTCCCATCATGTCAGATGAGAAACACAACCTCAAGGTGAGCTACTCCCAGGCGGGCGGATATCCGGTGGATCTCTACTACTTGATGGACCTTTCCAAGTCCATGGAGGACGACAAGGAGAATCTGTCGGAACTGGGCGACAAGCTGTCCGAGACCATGAGGAGCATTACCTCGAATTTCCGACTCGGTTTCGGTTCATTTGTGGACAAGGTGCTCATGCCCTATGTCTCGACCATTAAGAAAAAGTGAGTATGGTAAATGAAGACTAGGTTTAGTTATGCTTAATGTTCGATAAAGTCCTAAGAATCCTGATAATATTAGGGCTATTTTGTTTTTGTTTAAGTGGTTTTAAAATATGTAATCAGAGTTTATTGAATAATTTGTTGTTTACCATTTGCTTATAAAAGTTCCTTTTTATGATGACATGTTTGTATCATTTAAAAAACATATCGAGTTAAGTTAATTATTGAATTTTTGTATTATTTTTGGTTACCAAAGTTTACACATTTTGTAAGTTCCTCTTACATATTGAATTAAGGTATATTTTTTAAGTGTTCTTATGATCTGTAGCTGTAAGAAACCCTGTAATAGTCATAGTCTTCAACGGATACCCGATTCGTAAGCAATTCTGGAGAAATTACTCAGACTTGAGTACTAAGCATCATTTATTGATAGCATCCATGAGTAATGTCCGGCGGTGACACAATAATTTATCAACTTAGAAGCCCCAAATAATTCCTATTGCTAACAAAACAATTAAAAGTAACACAACCCCATCTCATTGGCTCTCTAAAAAAAGTGCGCAACTAGATTTTTGTAGTGTCTCTCTATGCTGTATGTCTACACGATTAATGCAGACTTTTGAGCTAATTTTATCTAATTTACCAGATCAAATCAGCCGCTAACTTTGTTAATTATTTTATACTTACAACCACACCATGAACAATGAACACCAACAAACAACTCGACAACAACATCAACAACGATCAACAACGATCAACGATCGACGATCGACGGAAACGAATCAAATCGAATCGAATCGAATCGCATCGAATTGAATCCATATAGACTCGAAAATCCCTGCGAAAACTGCACGGCTCCCTACGGTTACCAAAATCACATGCCACTCCGCAGAAACACCACAAGCTTCTCTGTAAGAGACAATTAATCGATACTTGACCCGTTTAACCCCACCTAAATGTGCCTGCTCCCATATCCATATGAATATCTACATACATATCTAGATCTATGGCCTGGTATATAGATCCATTTGCATGTTTCTTCATAACCCTATATGTGCTTGCCCTATCCCATCAATGAGTATATCTCAAATATCCCATTGCACCCTCTAGTTTAAGCATTATTTATACATTTTGTATCTTTATAATTATACATACTTTTGTGTTGTAATTGTGCTGTATGGTGATCAGCACAGATTTTTACATTTTAGCTCCACACTCTATAGCATATTTATATTGTATCGTTTATCGTGTATCGTATATCGTGTATCGTATCTATATCGTAATCTATTTGCACTCCTCGATGTTGTCAAAGCAAAAACATTATTTATCTTTTGTGTTTCTCTCTCTCTCTCTCTATTTCTTTATTTCATTGTGTACTCATCACTTTCTCCATGCATTCCAAAATTTCCCGTTGCTTGGCTCGAAATTTGAACAAAACAAAACAAAAACAAAACAAAACAAAAACAAAAAACAATAAATATTATGAAATGTTAACCAAATCTAAACCAAATCAAAACCAATTAGCCTGAATGAGCCGTGCGAAAAGTGCAGTGCTCCTTATGGCTACCATAATGCCATGGCCTTGAGTACGGACACATATAAATTCTCTGTAAGTGGTCACGCCCCCATCCGAATCGGAAACATCGCACCCGCATTCGAAAGCATTTTGGGTCATCATCCCATCCATTCAGCATTCAAGTTGCGATCTTGTTGGCATTTGCATTGGTTATAACTATAACTATAGACATACATATAACTCATTTGTTTGGCTTTGATTTTGGTGCTTCTAACTCAAAATGTATTGCATTACTCATTTAGCTTGTATGTTAAACTAATATAGCATAGTTGTTGGTATGTTAATGGTTAATGGTTATTGGTTATCTTGCATGCATGGTTTTTGCTTAACATTATTTATTTTTAGGCTCTTATCAGTTGGCACACTCTGAAAAATTCACAAACTAAAGGGTTTAGCGAGCAAAGGCAATCAATTTTAAATGAACTAACCTTTTAAACATGATGAACCCAAATCATATCAAACAATTCAGATTCAAAACAGCCCTATTAATAGCTCTATATATAGTTTCTAATTTGCGCAAACGATCTTGTTTGACTTGACCCATTTGAGCCAATCGTTTCGCATTTCAAGTTTCTAAATACAGAACTCAATTCACTTGGCTACCTGAGCAATTTGCCATTAATCATAACTGGTTGCATATAATATCTTATCGTAGTATGGTAGCAATTGTTATCTTTGACTAACACTGATAGACTGCTCAAGGTCTGGGAAGCGTTTGCTACACAATTCTTGCTGTTGAAGGAGTTTCGTTGTGCAGCAAACAAACATAATCCAATCCGGCATTTAAGACAGGGTGTGCCAGCATGCATCATCGACCCTACTCAAGCACCAAACTAACCTGAAACTAGCAAAGCAACATGACAGCTAATCCTTGATATCCTCTGTCCGGCAGCAAGAGGTGAAGAGTGCCAAAGTGTCGGGCAACTTGGATGCTCCCGAGGGCGGCTTCGATGCCATCATGCAGGCCATTGCCTGCCGACAGCAGATCGGTTGGCGTGAACAGGCCCGTCGCCTGCTCGTGTTCTCCACGGACGCGGGCTTCCATTATGCCGGCGATGGCAAACTGGGCGGCGTGATTGCCCCCAACGACGGCGAGTGCCATCTGAGTCCGTTGGGCGACTACACGCACTCCACGGAGCAGGATTACCCCAGCATCTCGCAGATCAACCAGAAGGTCAAGGATAATGCCATCAATATTATATTCGCGGTGACCGCCAGCCAGTATTCCGTCTACCAGAAGTTGGTCAGCCAAATCCAGGGCTCCTCGGCGGCCATACTATCCAGCGATTCATCCAACGTGGTCGATTTGGTCAGGGAAGAGTATGCTGTAAGTGCTGATACTGATGATGAAGACATTGACTTTGGACTCGTTTTGAATCGTTTTGAATCGTTCTTCCTTCGCTTCATTGCAGAAAATCTCCTCGTCAGTGGAGATGAAGGACAATGCTACGGGCGATGTGAAAATCACCTACTTCTCGTCCTGTGCGCACGGACCCGAAATGCAGACCTCCAAGTGCGACAACCTGACCGTCGGCCAGCAGGTGAGCTTCACCGCCCAGATTCAGGTGCTCAAGTGCCCCGAGGATCCGCGCGACTGGACGCAGACCATCAACATCTCGCCCGTGGGCATCAACGAGACCATGCAGATCCAACTGGAGATGCTGTGCGCGTGTCCCTGCGAGAAGCCCGGCTCGATTGGCTATCAGGAGCACTCGAAGAGCTGCAGCGAGCACGGCACCTCCATGTGCGGCATCTGCAATTGCGATGAGAATCATTTCGGCAACATCTGCGAGTGCTCGGCCATGGATGTGACCCTGAAGAATGGCAACGATGCCAGTTGCCGGGCGGACAACAACTCGACGACGGACTGCTCCGGCCGGGGTAACTGTGTGTGCGGTGCCTGCGAGTGTTTCAAGCGCTCGAATCCCGAAGAGGTGATATCCGGACCGCTCTGCGAGTGCGACAACTTCAGCTGCGAACGCAACAAGAACCAGTTGTGCTCGGGTCCGGATCACGGCACCTGCGACTGTGGCCGCTGCATCTGCAAGCCGGGCTGGACGGGCAGCAGTTGCGCCTGCCAGGCGTCCAACGACACCTGCATGCCGCCCGGCGGCGGTGAGATCTGCTCCGGTCACGGCACCTGCGAGTGCGGTGTCTGCAAGTGCACGGTGAACGAACAGGGTCGCTTCTCCGGTCGCCATTGCGAGAAGTGCCCGACGTGCTCGGGCAGGTGTCAGGAGCTGAAGGACTGCGTCCAGTGCCAGATGTACAAGACGGGCGTGCTGAAGAACGGCGACGATTGTGCCCGCAACTGCACGGCCTTTGTGCCCGTGGGCGTGGAAAAGGTGGAGGTCGACGAGCACAAGGACGAGCAGATGTGCACCTTCTTCGACGAGGACGACTGCAAGTTCATGTTCAAGTACAGCGAGCAGGGTGAGCTGATCGTCCATGCCCAGGAGGAGAAGGAATGCCCGCCCAAGGTCTTCATGCTTGGCATTGTGTTGGGCGTCATTGCCGCCATTGTGCTAGTGGGTCTGGCCATTCTGCTGCTCTGGAAGCTGCTGACTACGATCCACGATCGCCGCGAGTTTGCTCGCTTCGAGAAGGAGCGCATGAACGCCAAATGGGATACGGTAAGTTGGGATTGGCTCACAACTGTATGCCATGCCATTGCGTATATCTATTTTTTTTTACTTTTGTATTCTGTTCTCATGCTTACAGGGCGAGAATCCCATTTACAAGCAGGCCACCTCCACCTTCAAGAACCCCATGTATGCGGGCAAATAAATCCGATATGTAACTAAATAATAGGGAAATAGAACTTGTGTCGCTCAACTCGAACGACGACTGTCTGTGCTTGAACCGGAAACCAGAAGGAAAAACAGCCAACCAACAAACAAAACCACTATAACACTATAACCAATCTTCAGAACCGACTCCGAATTCATCGATGAAGCTGCTTTGCCCGGGTGCAAAATCACTGAAGTCAACTGCCATTGAAACGCGTTCTAAACTAAGTCAACCTTACATATACATATATATATATATATATACATATATATATATTTATATATTTATATATACATTTACAAAACAACCCCGCCGTGGGACAGCCTTTATACATTGCGTATACTTAACGAGCAAACGATTTGTGCCTTCCAGACATATTTTAGACTATATCTTTACGTACGTATATACGAGCAAGAAAACAGACAACGCACAGCAACAAAACAAACAAGCAGCCAAGAAAAAAAACAGCCAACAAATGAACTACGAACGATAGTTAAAATTATGATTTTTGTGTTCTTTTTTGTACCCATATAGTATCCAAATCGGAGCCAGCATATGAATTTGTATTTGTATTTTATTTTACTCTTTATTTGTAATTTTGTAATTTGTAATTTTTGTTTTGTGTTTTCCCCCTACTTCTAATTTTTTGTATCAACAACCTTTATGATGATTATTAACGAAAAAGCCAACGGCAATATAGCGATGTATTTAACTGAAACGATCCCAAACGGCAAACGGCTAGAAATGGGAAACTTAACTGATCTACTATCTACTACCCTCCCAAAATTGTCGTCCTTCGCCACGCCCCCCCCCAGCCCCCCACACGTCTAAATGTTTTTCTATTGTTTTTAAAGCTAACTTTACAATTAATATTTAAGCTATTAACATTTAAGCTTGTAATTGTTAATTTCGAAATGCAATTGTGCCCCAGGGACATTTTCGTTTTCTGTAAAATCTTTTCATTTTTATTTTTGTATGTTTTATTTATAGAAAAAGAAAGTAAAGAAAAGAAAAGAGGTAAACCGCGCGTGGAACAGAATGGAATATAGTCTTCTATATGTGTTTTGTTTTATTGAATTTCTATTTCGATCATTAATAGTAAATTAATACTACTATATAAATATATATTTTTTGCCATTTGTACTGATTACTGATTAACATTTAAAGTAATACAAAACCAAAACAAAAATATTTGTATAAAACAAAAACAAAAAAAACGAAAATCATTTTGAGTAATTTTATTGAATGATGAACCAATACAAAATGAAGTGGAAACACTAGCAATATAAAAAGATGTGGAAATTAAATTGTTTGACGCTAATTTTAGTAAAATCAATAAAAAAGGAAACTATAAAAACAAGAGGAAAAATGTGTATTATTGTTATTTGAAGACCCTGGGAAATGATTACTAATTAATAATGAATAAAGACCAATTGATGTCCTTTCATTTCCCTCAGCGATTTGATCAAAAAGAATTTAAAAAAAATCGCAAAATAGAAAAGTTACATTTTCTAACATTTTCTTTTTTTTAATATTTTTATTATTCCCCTGGGAGCTTTATGTTATAGTTATGCTATAGTCGTCCGATCCGGCTCGATCCGACTTTCATGCAGATAGCTTTAAAACGAACGGACAGACGGACATGGCTAAATCGACTCTCATAGTGATGCTGATCAAGAATGAATATACTTTATAGGGTCGCTGCAAACTTCTAACTGAAATTATAATAACCTCTGCAAGGGTATAAAAACCGATACAAAAATGAGCTGGAGTTGAGGCAATATAAAAAAGAAACCTACATTAAATTGTATCTTATTTGAGTAAAATCAATGCAAAAAAAAAAAACGCTATAAAACACAAACAAATCAAGAAAAATAAGTTCGTTGACTTACTGGAGGGTATACGAATCGACACATCCCTCGGAGCATTTACATTTTGATCCACTTCCATTTTCCACTTTTCCCCCAAAGGAGACAAACTCACTTTCAGACTGTACTCTGCATTTGATTCAAAAATGTCAATATGGAACAGCGAACATCGGATGGCAATATCGGATGTGGGCATAACATTCTATATATATATATATATGTATGTTCTGTATAAATCGTTGTATACATGCTTTGTTATTCATTAGGGTCTGTTTTCGAAACAAGTCTAGGCAATTTTACGTACTATGTAGTGTTAAAATATACGACTACGAATCGAATCGAATCGAATCGGATCTGATCGGGGGAGTAGCAGTTATGTAGTCTATATACACGATAATATCGAGCGGCTTGAGCGGCACCACGACTGTGATTGCGTAATGGCAAAGTGTGGTTTCGAATTGGATTGGTTTTGGTTGGCTTAAGTACGGCTTGAGGTTGAAATGTGGCTCATGTGGATCGAACCGAATCCTTGGGAGCTTTGGGCATTACTTGTGGCTGACGGAGTGGACGGCTCTTGGAGCGCTGCTCTCCCTCGTTCTCTCGATTCCGTGATTTCGTGGGTACACAATCTCAGGCGATGGGGTCGTACAGCAGCAGCAGTAGCAGCAGCAGCAGCAGCAGAAGTGGTATCGATGCGCTGACCAGGCTGAAAAGGCTGGTAACGCACGCACACACACACATACACACACACACAAGCCAACCGGGTGCTTTCTTCGGTTCTGGCAGCAAGCAGCGTTTGGGGCAGCTTCTCAGCTTCGTCTCAGTGGAAGATGAGGTCCGCATCGGGGGCGCCCTTTTGGTGCTTGAACTTGTGCTTGTTGGGCTTCTGGTAGTAGCTCTGCGTGAAGTTGCGCTGCTGTGGCGGCAGCAGTGACTCCTGGTAGTCCTCCTCCTCGATGCGCTCCGTTATGTTCAGCGTCAGCCGCTTGACCTTCTCCTTCTCCTCGCGGATCTTCTGCTCCTGCAGCTTCAGATTGATGGCCAAATGCGAGTCGGATGGGGCAACGAATGACTTGAACTGCTGCTTGCCGCCCTTGTTGCCGCGCACCATCAGCACGAAGGGCACGACTGCTGCTGCTGCTGCTGATGCTGATGCTCCTCCTGCCTTTCCATTGCCATTGCCATCTGGCGGATCCGGGCCTGGAGAGCCGGGCGCTGCCTCATGATTGGCGACCGCCTTTGAGATCTGTGTGGCATTGGTGTTGGCACTGCCGGAGGTCTGGCCACCTGTTATCTGTTCGTAGGACTTCTTTTGCAGGCGCGCCATCATCGGCACCGGTATGTCCTTGGCCGTGGCCTTGATCGGCTCCTTCAGCCGCTCCTGGTACGAGTCCGTGGTCATCTTCTCGTACAGATGCTCGAACTCTAGGTCCTCTTTGGACTTTTCCGGCGGCGGCGGTGGCGGCAACGGTGGCTCCGTCTCGTTCTCCGTCCAATCGTTGCTCTGCTCCGGCTCCTGGCCGGCAACCTGTCGCTCCCGCTGATCATTCGAGGATCCCGAATCCTCATCGGTGGCCTGGCATTTGTACCAACGTTTAGTAAGCTACAGATCAGATTTGTTTGCAGAAAATACTTACGCCTTCGTCTAGCTCGCTGATTTCACTGATCGTGGCCAGCGATGGATCCTGAGCACTGTTGGCCTTCAGCTGCGGGTACAGCTTCTCCTGCAGCTGGTCAATGGCAGCCTTGGCCTGGTCCCAGCTCTTGTAAAGCTTCAGCTTGGGCCGCACACCGGCCAGGCAGTCGCGATAGGTGTGATCCACCAGGATGGGAAACAAATCGGACGTGTTCTCCGACTTGCTGAACACGGGATGCGATTTCTTGAACCAATAATAGTGCTGGAAGAACACCAGGAAGTAGTCCAGTCTGAGGAGCAAAAGAAGGAATGCATTTACAACCACAAGAACGAATACTTTTAGCCCGGAAATTTTTCAAAATTGACTGACATGATAACTAGACATTGACTTGAATTTAAAAATTATGTTACTAAATATATTTACTATACAATAATACCCTAAAATATTTTTGATTAGTTAAAAATTGTAAGCTTAGCATTAAAAGAACACCTATAAATAAAAATTTTGTAAATTTTTGATATTTTTCCAAAAAATTGTAGGTCATTGTATAGAAAATTCTTAAAGCTTTAAGAAACTTTTTTAATTTGTTTGCTTTGGCTACTTGTTATTATCTTAAAACCTATCCAAAAATATACCTTATTATGTCCAGCAAACTCTAAAACATTTTATCAATGAAAAAATTCCCAAAAATAGGCTAAACCTTAAATGTAACACACTCACTTTTTGCGCGTGGCCTGGCTGGTGAAGTAGGGTCCACACGTGTCCAGCAGCATGCAGGCCAGCTTCAGCCGGAAGAGGCTGTCGGGCGGATCCAGGGGCGAGACGATAGACTGGTCCATCGACACGCCCAGCGAGATGATCGAGTAGAGCGTGTTGAGGATGTGCGTGGACTCCACCAGCTTGTAGTTGTACATCTCGCCCAGGTACTTGGCCATCGCGATGCGTCGCTGGGCCATGCGCGGCGAATGGATCTCCAGGCCGGCGCGGATGTCCTCGAACACGTTGTCGATGACGATGGTCACCGCCCGCGGCTGATAGGAGCTCAGGCCGGAGACGAGATCGGCCAGGCAGCGGATGAGCGGGAAGCGCAACAGGTACGCCTTGCTGAGGCACTTGATGGCATAACAATTCGTTTCCGGATCCTGCCAGTCGATGCGGCGCAGCATCTTGATGCACCGCTCCACATTCTGTTTGCACAGCTCCTCGAAGATCAGGTGACGGATGTACTCGTGCATGGGCGGCCGTATGGTGGGCTCCCGCTTGGACGACTCCGGCGGCTTCACCAGATAATAGACACTCTCGATTTGCGCCGAGTGGCGCGAATCCATTGCCGTGGCCGTCTTGAGGCGCAGCATCTGATCGAGGAAGACGTTCATCAGCAGCCGGGCATCCCGGCAGTTGTACAGATAGACACCGCTGACCTCCACAAAGGCACAGGCCATCTCGATTTGGTGGTGCTGAAAGTCGCGCAGCAGCATCTTCAGACAGCCGAGGGCATCGAACTTCTTGAACAGCCCGAACTTCACCAGCTCGCCAATGAAGCGCACAATCTTGAGCTTGGACTCGATGTTCAGCTGGTTCTTCTTGCGAATGTGCCACTTGAACTCCTTGCGCAGCAGTTCGGCCAAATCGGTGGCCACGTCCGTGTTGCACAGATGCACAATGGCCACGAAGCGCGAGAGGTAGGGCAGGATGTCCAGGCGGGTGCGCTGCACCGAGAATATGGTCCGCGTCAGCTTCTTGCGCTGATGCTTCGTGTTGAAGTTCAGCAGGAACTCAATGGCCGCCGAATCGATGAGTTCCTTGTTCACACAATTGAACAGGTTGACCAGAAAGCCATCGAACTGCTGCCGCAGCTGGGTTTGCGTCTGGGTCTGGGTTTGGGTCTGGCTCTGATTCTGGTTCTGTTGGCTTTGCTGCTGCTGTTGCTGTTGCTGCTGCTGCTGGCGTCCCAGTTCCATCAAAGCGCTGCCCATCTTGTGCGGCTTCACATCCTCCGCCGTTGGCGTCGATGTATATGTTGTCGGTGTGCTGCTCGACTGCTCCTCGCTGGCCGTTTCCAGTGTCGTGTCCGAGGCGGTGGAGGGCGGATCATCGATATCCATTTCCGCATCCAGATTGGCGTCGATGGCCTCCTCGGTGAGCTCAGTGGGCTCATCCAGCGTCTCCAGATCCACTTTGGGTGCCGAGAAGTTGGGCAGAAACTGCCGCAAGTCGGGCAGATCGGTGTAGAAGGAACGCGTTTCCTCGTCGCCCCAGGGATCGAGCACCCCGAAGGCGGCGCTGTCGAGCATGTTGTCGATGACCGTGCCCGGATTGCAGCACTCCGACTCCTTGGCCAACTCCGGCAGCGGCTCACCCAGCAGCTCCGACAGCGACTGGGCGGAGGCCAGCAGCTTGTCGAAGCTCGCCTGCATCAGTTCGCACTTCTCGCGCTTCTCCGTGGATATCTCGCCCTTGCACTCCATGGTGCGGCGTATATTCTTGGTCATGTTCATCAGTTCGGCCTGTTCGGCCAGCACATGCTTGCACAGGGCCTTAAAGTAGCCCTTGAGCATGGTGCGCAGATTGAGCTGCTTGTCGGCGGTGAGGAAATCCGACTTGGGCACCTCCACGCCGTACTTGGTGGCCAACTGTTGCATCTTTTGCGGCACCAGGCCGGCGTACTCCTCGCCGCAGTGCCGGCAAAAGGACAGTATGATCGAGAAGTTGCTATGGTCGTCCTTGTCCTGGGCAATCAAGTGCACCAGCACCACGCCCAGTTGGGCCAGACCTGGCTTCATCTGGATCACACCAGAGCTGACCAGTTCGGCGAACAGGCGCAGATCGACGCGCAGCTTGCTGGGATTGCCAATCTTCTCGCTGGCCTTGATGTTCAGCGCCTTTTGCCAGGCCTCGAGGAACTGCACATCGAAGTCGGCGTAGGTGCAGTGCAGCCGAGAGGCCAGCGTGACCACCGCCGGCACATCGGTCATTTTGAGCTTGGCTTCCGCCAGGGCAGCACATATTTCCGAGATGTACTTGCTCAGATTCAGGGCGGATAGCTCCCGCAGCAAAGCATCCAGCTGGGTGGCCGTGAACAGCTTGAGTTTCTTCACAAATGCCGTGTTCTTCTTCAGATTGGAGTCCAGCCTGGCGAAGTGCTCATCGCCGGGCAGCTCGAATGTGGAGTTCTGAAGCCGCAATTGCCGCTTGCTCTCGATCTTCTCGCTCAGCTCGTTGATGAACTGCTGCAGCTCTTCGCGCTCCTCGGCCTCCAAAGCAGCAGATGCCTCCGCATCCGCATCCGTGTCGGCATCTCCATCTTCATCTCCATTGGCATTGGCATCACCATCGCCTTCGCCATCGTCCTGCTCCACATCGCCACTGTCCTCCGGTGCGGTCGTTACCACCGTCTGCTCCTGATCCTTGCCAGCGTCTGGCGGTGTGGCACCATCTGTTGTGGTTGTGGCCGTTGCCGTGATGTTGGCCGATGCCGTGCTGGCCACTGGCGCGTCCAGAGCGTCCGGTGCTGTGGAATCGCTAGCTAGCATCGTGGCAATTCCTTGACGGGACTCACTTTGCCCGATTCCCAGCTGCACCGTTCGGAAATTCGATCTGCTGGCAAGTGGTAGATTCACATTCAAATCGAACTAATGTATTTTGTTTGTGTCAGCATGCGATATGCCTGATAATGCGTACTTTCTATATGGGTATATATAGTCACCTCAAGTTGGTCAATGGCGGCGCACAGTGTTCCACTGGCTGCTCCTCATCAAACCAAATTGTTCGTTGTTATTTATCTTTATTTCATATAACTTTTATTTTATTTTTGTATTTTTTAGACTATACAATCGATAGGAGGCGTGCTCGGTCTATCGGGCAGTCGATAGCACCTCCTGGTATCGATATCGATTGGTGGCAGTGTGACCGTAGGTCTACTACTTTGACTTAAAGATTTTTTCAAAAGCGTTGAAGCTTAACAAATAGAAAACGTTAAAGGCACTAATTTTAAACAACAAATTTAGTTTTGCTTACCCTTTCGGCAAACACCCAATAATGTAGAAATAGCAAAAATTAAAAAGTAGATTAAAAAGTTGATATAGCATTAAATTACACGTTTTAGAGAATTAAATCAAAAAGTTGTATAGGTGCTTTCAATTTTGGTTATGTTATAAGCTGCCAAAGTGCTGATTTTTTGGGTGACCTTACACTGAAAAAATGGGTCGAAAACTGAAAATATTTTAATGTAGATTATTAGAGAAAAAAAAGCCACCATTTTTAAGATTTTAAATCAGATTTTATTTGGAAGCATTTTTAGAATAGACAAAATCATATTTACTTTAAAATGGCTATAAAATGACAAATTTGAATGCAACAAAATTTTAGGCAATCAAAAATTATGGGTGTTCTCAGGCAGATTTTCGAATTTAATCAAACATACTCAATACTCAAAACACATAGGACACAAAGTGCTTTTACAAAAACAAATCAAAAAAACAAACAAAAAACAAAAGATTTAGAAGACACAGGAGGAGCAATAGGAGCACACCCAATCCCTCGAAGGATTAGTTCAAATTCCTTGGAGCAGCTTAATCCCTTGGTGCTGTTCAATCCCATGAAGCTATAGCCCCTGAAAGGAGCTTAATCCCTTGAAGAAATCCCACCTGCCGTCATGCACCAGAACCAATTCATCTACTCCCGCGAGAGGCGTCGCTTTGGCCGGCAGTGTCGGTTCCAGGATCGCAATGAACTGATTGTCAGCGTGCATCCCAGTGGCCGCCAGCGGCTGAAGTATATCCTGCGCAATCCGGCGGTGCAGGCCACCCAGCTAAGTTGCCAGATGGCGCTGACCACCATGGAGACGGAGAACGTGACGTTGGACCACCGCGGCATGGACCACTACGAGGGCGGCTGGCCCAAGGAGGTCAACTCGCTGGACGAGGAGCAGACGCTGCGCCACCGCAAGAAGGTGGAGCGCGAGGACAGCTGGGGTGAGCAGGTGCTGGCGATGATTCGCACCACCATGGCCGTGGCGGAGCAGAACAACACGCTGAACATCTACCAGAACTTCTTTGCGGATCTGCCGCTGGAGCTGGGCCACGACATCCGGATGAGTTTCCGGGCCAGGGTATGCAATGTCTTCCATGACCTGTGGCTGCCGGCCCGTCGCCTCAGATCCATCGAATGGATGCCCAACAACGATCGCCAGTTCATGACCCAATTCACCAATCAATTTCGCCGGGGAGAGCGATTGCGTTTCCTCGCTGATGAGCCATTTGGCGAGACAAATGCCTCGTTTGTGTGGGATGTGAAGAATCCACTGAAGCCGAAGATCACCTACGACTGCCACGACCCGGTGTCGCTGGCCAAGATCTGTCCCAAGGACGAGAACAACATGGTGGGCGGCACGGGGCTGGGCCAGGTCTGTCTGTGGAGCACCCTGGAGGGCGGCCTGCCGGTGCGCAATTGCCCCCTGGAGGTGTCCCACAGGGAGACCACCTCGGCCCTCTGCTGGGTCCACTCCAAGTCCAACACGGAGTTCTATTCGGGTTCGCTGGACGGCTCCATCAAGTACTGGGACACCAGGGACCTGAAGATGCCCATGCAGGAGCTGCTGCTCGAACCGGAGCCGCAGGAGCGACAGTCCCGAATGGATTCGCATGGAGTGACGGTGCTGGAATTCGAGTACACCATCCCGGTGCGTTTCATCATTGGCAGCGACATGGGTCATGTGTTTGTGGGCAATCGCAAGGGCATGACGCCGACGGAAACCCTGCTGGCCAACTATCCATTGTTCGCCGGACCCGTGCGCGGTATCAACCGGAATCCGTTCTTTGTCAAGAACTTCCTGATCACCGGAGATTGGCGGGCCAGGATCTGGTCGGAGGAGGCCAAGGACGGGCCATCGACCATGTATTTCCGCAAGCAGACACAGATCGTTTGCGGTGCCTGGAGCACGGGTCGCTGCTCCCTGTTCGTCACTGGAGATCTCAATGGAGTGGTCGACTTCTGGGATCTGCTGCTCCACCAGCGAGAGCCCATTCATTCCATTGACTTCAAGGTCACCATTGCGGACGTCGTCTTCCGGCCGGAGGGCGATCTCCTGGCCGTTGCCCTGCAAAACGGCGACACTCACATCCTGACCCTCGACGAGTCCATGCGACAGGCCACCGGCAAGGAGAAGGCACTCATAGCAGCCGTACGGGCTCCAATCTTTGGTTTTTATTAGCTTTTTAACATGGTTTACCAAAAACTCCCAGGGTTTTGAAATTCTCTACAAATCTATAGGCATCGGTAGCCAACTTTTTTTCATTTTTCTAGAAAATAACTTACATTTCTGCAGATTTAATTATGGTAATGCACTGGTAAAAAAAAACCTAGTCAATTCAAATATTTTGCAAACTTTTAAATTGACTATTACCAGAATTAATTTTATTATCTGAAAATTATATTTAAATTTAAAACATATTTAACTGTAATGAAATGCATTTAATTCAAGTATAAAAAATACAAAAATTTTTGTATAAAGTCATGCAATTTATATGCATTGTATTTAATATACTGATTGCATGTTTAATATATTGAATATAAAATTTTGAATTCAATAGTCAAATATTAATTTTTACTATTTCATTTTTGTATCACCTTCATCACCTTCTTCCAGAATTTAACTTAAATTTCTGCAGATCTCCTAAACTTAATAGTAGTAATAATTAGGGAAATTTTCTAAAAACAAGTATTTTTTTCTGGGTCAAGAAAATTTATATATAAATAATGTTTTTCAAATTAATTATTGAATGAGTAGTAGATCTCTATATAATATATCTTTGTAAAGGTGGAGAGCTTCGAAGCTTTAGAGTACTTTATGGTAGATATGTTATACCCTTTCGAAACTCTATACGATTAATCATATTACTGCAGGGTTAATCATTCTGCCGTATTCCCTCCTTAATTTATTTATTTCTACCCTACAGATGTTCGAACGTGAGATTGTGCGGAGTAAACTTCTGGAGGCTCGTTACGATGAAGTCAAGCTGAAGCGGAAAACGCTTTTGCAGGCGGAGGAGGATCGGTTGCGGATGGAGCAGGAAATGAGCGCCATCGTCGAGCTGGATCCCGACAATCCCGATGAGTTCGTGATGATGATCGAGGGCGACGAAGAATTCCGGACGGCCATCAGTGAGTTCCAGGACATAATACTCAGTGTGGAGAAAAAGCGCTCCAAGAGGCAGGTGATCAATGAGCCCACGGTCTTCGAGGAGTGGAGTCCGCACGACGAGCTACTCCAGGGGGATCTCATCACATACACATATCCCGGTAATAAGCCACCGTCTCCAATGAACAACGACATTAGGTTTTCTCTTGATCAAAGATATTCGGAGGGCTCAGCCAAACAATAGTAAATAAAATTGAGTGCACTGATAAGCAAAAAGGGAAACCGGAAATACTGTTGTACTGGACAAACTGCATTTACCATTAAAATGTAGATAAAATATGAAAAAGTTAGTTCATGATAATAACCACCAGTTTGTATTATCTTTGAAAAATGGGATTATGTTTGATGGAATATAAGGGTTACCAGAAATACTGTTATAAGGGACTAGCAAAAAAAATCTAATATTAAAATATATGTAAAGTATAAAAAAGTACCGCACATTTATTATTTAAAGTGTTTTTATTTAAAGTAAACTACCAGTTTTTATTTACCCTCAATAAATGTTATTATTGTTCAATGGGGTGGTAGAAGATAAGGGTAAGCATAAAAACTGTTATACTGGTCAAACAAATTAAATTGAATTTAACAGTAAAATGTTACGCAATTCATGTTATTTGAAATGTGTTAAGGTAAAGCTTATAGCCCGTGTGTGGGTTAATTTTGTTATAATACCATAAATTAGAACTTGAACATATTCACACGACCATAAAGTTTTTCATTCCATACAATACCATCCCAGATAGCGTGATGAACTAGAAAACAACCAGATTATAAGCACATTAAGTCAGACTCATGGGTCAAACTAGGGAAGCAACATTTCATCACTTTATGGAGTACTCTTTGGAGACCTTTATTACGACCAACACAATTAGCCCGACAACGTTCGCCTTTAATTAAGTAACAACCTTTCTAACAGCTAAATTGAGCTTGCTAAATTCACTTTTCACATAGCAATTAGTTGCACTTCTCCACACAGCAATTAAAAGGAGATAATAGTTAACAAAAAAAAAATGTTTAAAAACAATAAAGCTCTATGACCTACTGGGGGTGAAAAGGGATAGGAAAGCAGGCTGTCCACCTTTTAGTGCTTATCCGTATCCACTCCCGTGTCGAGGAAATCGTTCACCAGGCGCATTGCCTTGCGGGGAATCAGGCGACCGATCTTCTCCACGGCCACAAAGTGCCGTGGCACCGATGCCTCCTCCAATCCCTGGCGCTGGGCCTCGATGATGGACGCGGAGGCCACCTCGGGCGAGATCAGCTTGAACAGGCTGGGGAATCGGTAGCGGGGGTTCTTGCACAGACCCGTATCGATCATGTACGGAAAGATGGTGGTCAGCTTGACCTGAAATTTAGATAGAGATTATGTAAATATTAATGTGGGTCTGATTATTAGAACATTTGGTATCGGTAACATGGAAATCTTAAGGGATATTAAAAGCAACTCCCTTACATTTTACAATTCTCTGATTAGTTCCAAATCAAAATATATCATCAAAATATAATTATCTTCTTGACTTTATGGTTAAATAGTTTTTCTTTAATATTACCAAATAAATAGTTGAGTATTCAGTTTGTATTGGTAATATAAATATTTGTATTAAAATTAAATTGTTAGTAAATTTCGTATTGATATAATGGAAATATTTAGGATCTTTTAAGCAACACCATCGCCGGGTTTAACTCTATCTTAGATTCCAAATCAAAATTTAGAATTTCTTAAATATCACAGAACAAGTGGTTGGTCATACATATTTTGAATTAAATGAAATCATTATGGTCCCAAAAGCAACTTTTTAATATAGCCCTTTTACACTGTGATGCACGCTAGTGTGTTTTCGCTCCATATAAACATATAATTCAAAGTAAATTAAATTTTTTCTTTTTTATGAGCTTATTGCCTGGAAATAAGGTGCAAAGGTAACAAAAAGAATGTCAAACCAGCACCTAAAAACCAGGCTTTAAATGAGTTATAATACGCTGGCAATAAACTGCGTTTCTTTATTATATATATGATATGATAGCTTTTTTTTATCACGCCCCCAGTTTGATTGTCATGAATCACTGAATGATAAAACAAAATGATGCTTACATTGTTCTGGGGGTTCTTCTGACGCAGCTCCTCCGCGAGGGCGGTCATGTAGCCGCGAACGGCGAACTTGGTGCCGCAATAGGGCACCAGGTTGACCAGTCCAAAGAGTCCGGCGCAGGAGGATAATGCCACAATGCTGCCCTCGTTGCGCTCAATCATGTCGGGCAGGAAGGACTGGATCATCTGTGGATGAAGCAGATCAAATCTTAGTTTGGTTAATCGTGAGCTAAATAAACTAATATATGTATAAAATATGTATACTATTAAGTTTTGAGAATCAAGCTTATTTGAAAAATACCTGGCAGTACATATTACATATTATTAAAAGTAAAACAGATTAAAGAAATATATTTTATTTATCATGGCAAAAATATCTAGATAGAAAATGAATTATTAAGATATATTGAAAATTTTTCATGATTTTGATAGAAAATGAATTATTAAGATATATTGAAAATTTTTAATGATTTTGCATCTTATTAATGTAAAATATATAGCTCTTAATGTTAATCTTGTCATATTTAAGGATTAAAGACCAATTAATAAGTTTTGGAGACCAAACGTGTTAAACAAATTTCTAGCTTTAAACATTAAACATTAAATTGTACAATTTTTGATTCGTAATGTTTTATCAGCTTTATTGATCCAAATGAAATCAAATCGATCCTCGTCTGCACTTTTTTTTTTAATTTTTTAAGTTACCCAAAAGAGGAAATGGAGCCTTGAACTCACCCAGAAGTGGGAGATCACATTGATGTCGTACATGAGGCGGATCTCGTTCTCGGTGTGCTCCAGCAGTGGGTGGCAGGGCATGATGCCGGCGTTGTTGACCAGCACGTGGATGAATCCGTGCTCCTTGCGCACCTTCTGGGCCAACTCCAGCAGCTCCTCGCGCTTGGTCACATTGCACACATAGCCGAAGGCCTTGCCGCCGCTCTTCTGGATCTCCTTCACGGTCTGGTTGTTGGTCTGCTCGTTGACGTCCCAGCACAGGACGGTGGCCCCCAGCTTGGCATACTGCAGGGCCATCTGCTTGCCCATGCCGTGACCGGTGCCGGTGATCAGGACCACCTTGCCATTGAGCTCCTCGAGGGGAGCTGGTCGGAAGAGGCCGACGATGGCCTCGACGATCGCGATCCAGAACTTGGCGATCAGCATCACGATGTCCACCACCAGCAGGACGATGTTGTAGATGTCATTGCTGTTGGCAGTGTTGGTGTTGCTGTTGCCAGCACTGCAAAAAATTAAGGTACATCATCAATATCATAGTTTCCAAAATGTATACCAATTTTTTAAATAAAGTAATCTACTTCTACTACTACTACTTTGGTTTAACTGACCATTAGGACAATAATCGATGAAAAAAGTACAGATTATTAGTTGTAGAGATTAGATTTGGTTTCTCTAATAAACAGAACGACCAGAACTGTACACTCAAAAGTGCTTTATCATCATGATTAACGATTATAAAACGAGTAAATCCAACAAAATTTTGAAATAGTTGTTATTTTTAAGCAAGTGTAAAGATTACCGCTGTTAGCTAAGTTAAAACTGAAACATTGTTAAGTTAAATGCAACATTGTTGTGTTCCATTTTTCAGTTAAACTCAACTATGGTAGTACGGACACTTAAATGGGAAATGGACTGAGAACTGGTATTTTGACCCTTAGTTATTACACTCTCGTGTTAAGCTTTATATAAAATTGAAATATACATGTAGGTTTCTTTCCCATTTCAGACATAAACTGCTGTAGGCGTATTTAACTAAATATCCATTATTAACACTTTGTGTTGTGTGGTGTGGGCATCATCCTCTGATTCAAGTAAAAACTTACTGACTTAATCTGACACTAAACATTGACCAATTTATTTGTATAAAACTATTTTGAACTACATATAGAAAATAATTGCATGAAACTTGACGGATTGCTTGTGATTTTGTGGGAAGTGCGTGTTTGCGCTAATTTGACTTTTGATCCGAGCATCACAATTATAAAATGGAGTGAACCGAAGCGGAGTGGAGATGAGAATTGGACCTAATCCGGATCCCAACTTTTGCATGACCAAGGGCCATTTGGATGGCGAGTGTGCGTGTAGGCCTTATCTCACAGCGACCGACAATCGGGTGACCTTTGGCATCCTCTTTTGTTGGTGCCACATTTTTTTGTAGCTACACCGAAAAAAACAATGTATCCTTGAATTTAGAATACCTTTTCGTATTTTCATAGACGATGCGGTTAAAAAAATTTCAGTTTAAAAGCTGTAAAATTGAGCACTTCACAAAAATAAATCAATAACAGATTATTTAAGTAAATTTTGTTGAACAAATGTCAACATAATTTAATTAAGTCAAAAATTACCTTATATAAATTTAATTAAAGAAAAAAAATTCTTTACACGAACAAGTGTTGTTTTTTTTTTTATAAGTCAAAAGCAATTTTTTTTGCTCTGTTAAATATTACATGATATTTCTGTTTTGAATAGAAATACATTTTTTTGCCTCGTTTGAAATGGACCCTATGGAAATAGGGCGGAGGGAAGAAAAGTGGGTGGAAATGGGTTGGTGCCATCTTGGGTCAGCGTTTTTTTTTTTATTTTTTTCCCACCTCATGTTCTGTAATTATACTGCCGGTTGCAGCTGCGTGAGATCTTGATAATGCCGAAATGTTTACAGCATTTTGCTTTTATTTTTGTATATTTTTGCCTTTGCGTTACGTATTGCGATCAGCAGAAACGAGCCATGCCATATATATTGTGTTATATAGTCAACCAGATCGTGCCATCCGACTTGAGAAACCCTGACCATGGCCTCTGTCCCTCTCACTCGCTCTCTTTCACTTTCTATCGCCCCGTCCCGCTTCCGCTCCCGCGCCCACATTTCACTTCACTTTCATAGAGACCGCGTTATCGGCGCACTTCTGGAATGCTATTTATAGTCGATCAGACCAAATCGTGCTGAACAGCCCACCTAGTCAGTGCCCAAACAAATGCACAACAAGAACTTTTGCAACGCCCTGGTAATGATATTGCTGAGATGATTTTCACTTGAAAAAAAGCACCATTCATGAAATTTTAGGGAGTGATTGGCTATATAAGGTTTCGTTTTAAAGAGTTGTGGCTTAAAAATGTTAGGGAAATGTGTGCTTAAGGATTTTAAAGAAGAATAAAAGGGAAACTCATTTTTAATGCTATTTGTAGTCCTTAAGGTATTACAGTATATTTAATTTAAAATTCAAAATATAATATAATATGATCTTAATGTTTTTGTGAGTAATACATTTTTAAAAAATTTTAAATTAATACTTAAGATCAATAGACTTGCATCTATAGTTTTTAAGGTATAAGTCGTACTATCCAAAGATGTATAATTTCAAGATTTAAGTAAGACATATCCTTTTTTTTTTTTTAAATATATCCCCTAAATGCAGCATGATCCTTTGACCCAACCAAATGTAGATGGCAGTTAATAACTACTGCACACGATCACTGGTCAAGGTTTATGAGGGCAATTTGAAATAGTTAAACTAAGTCGGATGAAGGTGAATGACGCTTCAAGTGAGCTGATCCAGATTGCACAATGGTCAAAGGTCAAAGGTTGCCGAGATAATCATCCATATATGGATGATGAGTTGGTCAATTGATTTATAATGGCCCTCTGAGCTAATTGCTGAACTATCACGATTGTTGACTTTCCGATACCCATTGAACCCTGCTCCTGGGCATTAGTTGAAGACCCCCCCGATAAGGTTCTGTTATCACCGACGATTATACGTGGGTTGATTTTTTTTATATTGCACTACCCGTAAACATGTGTATACAAAGTTCCATCGATAAGATTGTTTGATTCGATCTCTCTTTCTTCCCATTTTTGTTGCCAACAGCTTTCCATTTCGTTGATTACTAACCTTTGCGACACTTTCGACATGCTTGCAGGATCGTATATATATTATATAGAAAGGGATCTGCGGACGATCGGAGCAGCGGGAGCAAACCGTTAGCGGCTGTTAACGAATTCGGACTGAATTTTCAGTAAAGTAAACAGTACGTACGCACCGTACCGCCACGCCGGTCTTATAAGTTATTATTTCAAATCTACTCACACACACACAGCACTGTGGGGGGTTTTCAGATACTGTATGCGACACTACGGTACACTACTCGTAGATACATTCTGCCGGCAGCGACGTCAACTGAGGCAGAGACGTCGACAGAGGCAGAGGCAGGCACGAGTACGACATATGTTCAATGGCGCTGCCATTCCGATTTATTCCATTACAATCCGATCCGATCCGATCTATATAGAACGACATCCGACATACTGTGCAACGGTTCGCCTGGCTCCCATATATACATACATACATATGTATAGTACAGATGTAGTAATTGTAAATCCACAAGTGTATTTGTTAGATAGCCGGCGAGTGTGTGTTAATCGGGGTCCGATAATAGTACACCCAGCCGGGGGGTGCCCTGCACTGGTGGCCCATAAAAAAAGTATAACTATATTCGTCTCATACAATATATGTATATATAAGTGCACACAGCTCGGCGGAGTTTACGACCCAGATCGTTCAGATACTCGGATATTCGGAGCGAGAAGACAAATATACAGAGAGATGCCAAAGGTGGAAAGGGTGCCAAAATAGATGCACGTCGCAGATATATAACACAAAAGCTTCGGCTAAACATTATTCGGTTTCAGTCGCACTTCAGATCGGTTCAGCTAACAGTTATCTTTCCATTTTCGTATGGCAAATCGGAGATAAGGACTCCTGGATGATCTTTGACTCCCCAAAAAGCTTAACTCACGCAAATGACTTACGAAACAAGCAAACAAAATAAAAGGCATTATTTTCAACTTATTTTTTTATAGTCGATAATCAAAGGAAAAAGGTTTTTTTTCTATATTTTCATTTGTATTTTAAGTGCGAGCAACTTACTTATTTTTACTGTTAATAAAGCTAGTCACAAATTTTTTTTTTGTGTTTCTGAGAGGTAGATATATTTGAAATATTATTTAATTCAATATAATATAATAATTTAATGATCAAAAATATTATAATATATATAGCTAGTTTCTACTCTGTAAATTATTAAAAGCTTAAAATGCTAGAAGGCTTAAAATGTTCTAGTTCCAGGGTACCTGATTGCTTATATTATCTTATATTTTTTCCGCTGTACACTACTTGACCCCTGAGATTAAATTTGCGATTAGATTGGAGTCCTTAATATTTGCCAGCTCAGCATGATGAATCACTTTCCGCGCAAGGTCAAAGTAGTAAGTTAAACGCAAAATCCAACTTATTGCAGCCCCTGAAAAGTCATTCAACTAGAACCCAACCCCTGTCGATAAGAATTCGACTTGCCAAACAAGTGAGTAATAAAAGTGCGATCACAAATGTTATAAAAACTTGAATTAATAGAACTCTTACTAATTGTAAGGTAATACGGATTAGTTACTATGGCTTAACAAGTTATATCCGCATTTATAACCGTGCTTTTCCATATAATTATTTATATGGCCAGCTTTAACTTCACGAGGTCTTCAAGTTGTCTGTTTGGTTTTTTCTGCTGCATTGTAATATATTAAATCATAAAATAACAGGTTTTCTACATTGTACTGCGATATTAAAACATTATGTTATTTGTTAAGACGTTAGTGTATTTCTAAATGGTTAACTATAGTTAAAAATATGTTATGATTAAACTGATTGAATGTTTTGGATTGTAATCGGTTTAACTAACATTTAAATAGATTACTTTTTGTACCTTTAATTTGGAAATGAACGAATAGTTTGTTTACCGTTCATTTGTAATTATTAGTTAGTTATTATTAGCATTTGACTTTTCGCAATCTCGTCCACAGTGGGCTAACATTATTCAATAAAGCTTTCTAAATAAATTGAATAACTTACATGACATTTATTAAATTAAAAAAAAAAACTGATAAACAGTAATTATGAAGGGAACATATGTATGTAACATATGGAGAACATAGATCCCAATAACTATTCCGTATGAACGCAATATAAAATGGTGTAAGTAGTAAATATTAACACACTTATATATAATAAATATATATTTTGTTTAAGTATTATATTATATTTCTAACAAAAAGCGGCGTTTTTAAAGTTAATTACTGAGAAAAAGGAATTAGGTTAATTAACCCGTTTGTATCCTCTACAATACGTAAAAATTCGCTTTTTTGACCAAGGGTAGCATCTTCCTTTCCGGCCACTCGTACTTGGACACCATACAGTTATAGTATGCTGCATTCATTCCGGTTCTCCGCCGATCCAGTCCACCTTCCACTCCCCAGCGGGAGGGGGGATTAAAGGCGGCATCGCACAACCCAATGAAACAAAACAATTCCGAATAGAACAAGCTTTGGGCGTTGCATGAATGCGAATGCATTCAATAGATAAACAAGATTCGTGACAATTCGCCAGTCGGCGTGTGTATCTATGCGGCTAAAGTTCTACGAGTGCGCTTGTAGTTGTGGATGCGGCTGGCTAATCGAATAAATTTGCTCGCATTACCGGACCGGTTGACTGGCTTATTGTTTCACCCCGACGCTTGCATAAATACGCCATGACGCCTTGGCGGTTCATCTAAAGCTTTCGCATAGCACTGCATCCATCGTCATCACTATCACTATCATCATCACTATCACCATCACCATCTCCGGAATGATCCAAATGTGGATACGTGCCTATAGCAACCCTGTCGTGGGTCGGGGTCACCCCAGTTAACTGGCTACAGCGACTAGTCGCAATGATGTGCGTCCACCCATCGAACCTGCTCAACGTCTGGCTATTTATCGGGGTCACCAGTTCACGTGTGATTTATGATAAGTGTACAAGGTTAATAATTAGCTACTATAATTACAACTCTTGTATATAAATTGTCAATAAAAAGTTATGGCAACGTAAAAAAACAAAACTTCCATTTATCTGTTTTCCAACTTAAACCCCCATTGATTAATAAAAGACTTTCAAACATAAAGGTATCAAAAATACCTTTTCATTATTAACCCTTGATTTGAATAAACACTTTCTTTTATTATATTTAATAGCTGATAGTTATAACAAATTCAAAGATATTAAGTACCAGTTGCAGATCACACCTGCAGGGTTGAGAAAAAGGAAACCACGGCGCTGTCCGTCGGAAGACACTGCCCAAAGGCCTCGATTAGCAAGGGTTCGGCTGTGACCGTGCCCATGAAGTCGTCCATGGATACCTTGAACATATGACCTCACTGCTATTCCCACAATTATCTCCAAAGGGCTCTCAACTCACCTTGCCATCTTTGTCCAGGTCGAACTTCTTGAGCACAATCTCCACTAGATCCTTGACACCCTCGTCCGGATCTTCGTCCTGTGGCTGCTTTATCAAGCAGTTCCTCAGCAGCGTGAACATTTCGTCCTTGGTTATGAAGCCATCGGTGTTTAGATCGTAAACCCGAAAGCAAAAGGCTGCCCGTTCCGTCGGAGTACCTCGCAGAAATGTGGACAGACCAATTAGCCAGCCCTCGAGACGAAGGGGCAATCCCTCGTGGGCCTTGTCCCAGCTGCAAAAGATGCGCTCCATAAGGATTTCCTCGGTGACGATGTCAAAGGTGCTGTGCAGCAGCTCACGGAACACAATGCGGTCGATGCCCTTGGGGGAGATTTATTTAACTAGACTAAGACTAAGTCTTCCATACTATAACACTGGTCATTTTGCAGGATTATTAAGGGATGGGTGTTTTACAGAACTTAAGATCTCATAAAAATAAAGAGAAGACATGTTTAACATTCGATTGATTGACAATCAGTTTTAGGTACACCACATTGATTATGGAATTTAAGTACTATTTACCTCCACAGCGGCATGTGGCTTGGCAATCGCTGCACTCGAGGAGCTGGAGGCCAGCGTTTTGGCCGCATACTGACAATTGGACACCAGCTTGCGATAGATCCGGCACAAGGCGTCCAGTTCGTCCCTACTCGGGCGCCAAGTGATAAATGATAAGTTTGCTCTGCGGACCGCCCACTTTAGTACTCACTTGGTGAAGCGCGTCTTCTTGCGCAGACTGTCCAGCAGCTTGGGATTCACTTTGCCGCTCAGCTCATCCATCCTCCGTTGCCGCTGTTGCCGTTTGTTCTGCAAAGCAGCCGCGGCGGCCTTCGACTGTTGGTTGCTCGAGTTGCGCTTGCCGCTGGCTAGGAACACGGATACCGTTTTCAGTATCGTTTTGTTGGCATGTAGTGTGGATCTGCCGACGCCAGCGGCGGCTCCAGTTGCTGTGGGTGCCGCTGCAGCACCACCAGCCGTTGACGTTGCTGTTGCCGTTGCCGCAGCCCCACCATCGCGATTGGGTGTCGGTGTTGGCGAACGACCCTTGCCGGCGCCCGCCTTGCCTGAAAACCAAAAATTGCCAGTTAAGTTACATGGGTGCGTGTCTCTGTGTCTCTGTCTCTGTGTTGTTGGGTTGCTACTTTATGTGTCAAAGTCGACACGCTCACCCCCTGACCCCCAGGCCCACTCCTCCCCCACCCCCACCTCCTCCGACTCCAGCTTAGCCAGAAAAACCCTTCAAGTATGTATGTGGAACAGAGCAAACAAAAGGCCTGAAATGCAAATGCCATCCATACCCATCCCAATCCCATTCATGGCCCATCGAAATGGGTAATAGCGTTCACATTCTGCCCATAAATTGTTTCAGTCGGCTATTTCGTTTCAAATGCACTGGGAGAAACCAATAGCAAAGGACTAATATATTGGACAAGTAAGCTTAAGCTTGAGTTTTAGGAATGGGCATCTATAATCTAAGGTTTTTCAAGTCCACATCCCAAAATTCCTAATGATCAGACAATAAATGTGGTAACAAGAGCATTTCATGTTGGCCTCTTTTTAATATTCTTCCCCTGGTTTCCACCAATTTATCATTGTCTTTATTTGTGCTATTAAAGCGGAAATAAAAGCCACTTTTTGCTTACTACTTTCTTCGGGTGCACTCATTTAGTTTTGTGTTCACTTTGATTTCAATCTGCGCCTATACTGCACTCCTTCCATCCAATCCATTGTTTTATTTTGTTGTGCCGTGCTGCCTTTGAGAAAAAATGTTATTATCTTGTGATTACCCATATAAGTAGAGGAGCACGGAGCACATAGGGGCCGGGGCCTGTCTGTCTATCCATCTGTCTGTTTATGACCACCTCCGCCTTAGGCACTATAATTTTATTAGCATTTCCATTTGCCCCACTTTGGGGAGGGGGATGCGTGTTGGGCTTTGGGTTTTGGGTTTGGGTTTTTGGATTTTGGGCCCTCGAGAACCGTCTGTGCCGCCTGTGCTGTCTATGTCTAGAGCCTATGTTCCTATGTACGGCATACGGTTTCATGTAATTTGTTGATATCGGTTGCCCGGTTGCCAAACGAACGTAGAAGGATGAGGTCACCGCCTACACTCGACCACCACGAATGGGGCGAATAAATCAAACATGTTTGGACCTGGCAGTCCATCAACATCAACATCAACATGAACGGGTTGCACTCTGCGCCATGCTGCTCTCCGCCTAAAAATGCAACTTCCGGTGGCACTATACATACACCCCCAATTACATGTGACAGGAGACCTGGACCTTGCATGTTTTTTTGGCCAATCGCTCGAACTGCCAACCAAGTTGTTCAGTCGCGATTGGCAAGCCAAACGAAGGGATCTATTCTGGTTAGGACACGGAGCATACCAGGTTGTGCTATAAAGGAGCAATGTTCAAATATCTTTAAAATTGAACATATCAATATCCATTTTAACATTAAACAAATTTTAATAATAAAAGGCATTACAGTTTAGCTAAAATTTGTTCGATCATGGAAAGGTTTACGATCCGGAGTAAAGCTTTTTGAACTAAAAACTGAGTAAGCAGTTTTTCATCCATATTTCGATCCAAAGTGAAAAGGAGTTACTGTAAAAAATGAACTTAAACTCAAAACCAAAATTGAAATGCAATGCAGGTATGTCACTTTTAAGTCCAATTCCTTTTTTGCTTCTTTTTTTTTAATGATTTAAAATAATTCATCTTCATGGCTTTATATATATATATATACATTGCAGGATACCTTATAAGTGAAGCAATATAACCAGGCAAACGAAAATGGCGAACGCAATGTAACTGCCATTACATAACAGTTAAACGTGACTCTGGATAAAGTAAACATTTAATGGCCTGTGCCCAAGTGCATTGGACTTTTTGGAGAAACTCCTTGCTGTTGGCCCCAAAATGGAATTTGGCCAACTTGCGCTCAACTATTTTGCAACTTGGTGGACTTTTATGGGGGCGCTGCAAAGTATGCTATGGAAATGTTCGAAACGCCAAGAGTAATTACAACTCCGCACAAGATACACACACACACACACACACAGAGATACACAGTCGCACACACGGAAGTTGTTGTTGTATAGTTGTTTTATAGATCTTTAAAGTAGATACCCATGTTTTACTGGCTCCTCGGGTGCAATTGTTGTGGTTGTTTCAGTTGTTTTGATTGCCCGATTAACTCCACGCAGGAGCGTTAAACCGTGTCCCTCGGCCCTTGGGCCAAAACAAAGAAAAACAAGAGCGAAGAAGAAATCAACAAACGCGGGCACTTTCCATCAGTTTCCAAGGCGTTGACAATCCCCAGGCAATTGTCAGTTGGTCTAGGTAAGGAGCCCACGGATTTATGGGGCGGTACCAGGCAAAAACTAAGCAAAAAAAAAACCAAACTATTGACAAAACAAGGCCAAGAAACGGGCGTAGCTTTCTTTTCTTTTCTTTCCTTTTTTTATTTGTTAGATTTCACTTGTTTTTGTAACATGTTTTTTGGTTTTTTTCTTAATCCTTTTTTTTTTTTTTTTGCGTTTCCTTTTTTTGTTTTTTAATTCATTTTTTGTATCCCCCTTCGTCCATGGTATTTATTTCCGTCTGACTTCGATTGCTTGAATTACGTTTTAATTATTGTGTGTCCTGATAAATATAGGCATATATAGGGCGTGTGTGTGTGTGTGTGTGTGTGTTACTTATATACAACTATCATCAGATTACTCATTAATTCTGCTTTTAGACTTAGGCGTAAGTATTGTTATAGTGTTAGTACATAGTACAGTAGATCGGTAGATCGGTAATGTCTAATTATCTGCACTTGCATTTGATTTCACTTTAAGACCCCTCCAAAAGTCACCCTCCAAGTCCATCCCATTGGGTGAAATCGAATCCAATCCAATTTGATTAACAATTTTAAGAGCGAGGAAGAAAGAGATCAAGTAATCAAGAAAAATGTGGTGTAAAAGCAAAATGTATTATAATAAAAAAAAAACAGAGTTGGTTTTGGCTTAAACACGGGTGGCATAAGTTAGACATAAGAATTATTGCATTTAATTACACGATCAATTCGAATCCTATTTTAAAACATTACATAATAACCGTACAATAATATTAATTAACAAGAAAATGAACTGCAACGTTTATTTTGTCTGTTCCACGCAATCGTCTCCAAACGCTTCCTCTAGGATTTGTCTTGGTTTTCTACTTTAGTTCTATTTAGTTTCGATCGTTATTCACTTTTTTTTGGGCAGGGACAATGCTGCTAAGTCAGATGATTTTCTGCAGTTAAAAATGTCTAAATATATAATGTATAAAGACAGAGACAACGATAAATCCTACAAAAACGCGTTCACAAATAAACAAAACAAACAAACAAACATATAAAGCTGGGGGAGAACAAAACTCTAATTTTGTTGAACGATCTAAGCGGAAACTGAGGCGTTTGAGGCTTCCTCTGAACTTGAATCTGGGTTATCATCGTGTGGTATTTATGTGGTGAGGGTTTTCCAAAAACTTTTGTTTGATGGTGGTACTTGTGTTTACGATACGTTTTCTATCATCTTGTTACTCCATTGCTAATCTCTAAAGAACGGGCATTGACGTCTGTTTAATGCCAGATCAAGGCCAAAAGCAATTTCATGTCATATTTCGTATTGCACGTGCACTTACTATAGCCATTTAAATTGAGTTGCATCTATGCTTTTATCTCTGTTATCTCTGTTATCTGAGTTAATCTGTATTTAATCGGTTTTTGTTTTCCATTTTGTTCTCCTCCGTTCCGTTTTTGTTGTGGTCTATATATCTGTTACGATCCTTGCTCCAATCCATTTTTGTTATCAGCTACTGATGGCTAAACTAAGAGTTTTCAAATCTTGTTTTTCTTGCTGCTTACATTAGTGTGTATATATATATATATATATATATATATATATATTGTATGTATATATTTATATGTATATGCGTGTGTGCGCAGATCATCACACGCCTTCATCGAATCACTTTCTATCTTAAAATCCAATTATCATTTATCAATTATATATATTTATATATATATATATTCATATATATATATTCATATATATATATTCATATATATATATTTATATTGTTGCTTGTTGTTCCGTCGCCAACTGAGGGGTTTGGGGAAATTGTGTTTGCTTGTTTGCTTTGGGGGAAAGTGTCGGGATATGGGGAAATGGGGTCTCGAAGCATTTGTATTAGGCTGTTGTCAGTGTAAGTGTTAGCGGTAGTTCCGTAGGCTGGCGGTCCAACCGATATTATAACTCCATGTCCCTGGCCTCATCCTCACTGTAGTCGGACATGCTCGACTCACTGTCGCTGCTCTCCCGCTCCTGCTGCGCCGCCCGCAGCGCATCCTCGGTGGCATACCGCTGCACATAGTCGGCCACCTTGCGATGGTATTCCTCCGGCTCGTGCAGGTACAAGGCGGCCGCATCCCGATTGAGCGGATCGACCGGATTGGGATATGTGAGCAGCTGCGGCAAGAACGATTCGAATATGTTCGATAGATCGTACAGCGCCGTCCAGGCTTGATTGATCACATCCAGGCACACCGTGCCGGAGGACTCGTCAATATTCGGATGGTAGATCTTGTTCACAAAACCGATGCTCGGTGATTTGAAGGGATAGTTGTCGGGCAGGTAGACGCGCACCTTCCACACGCCGCCCTCGTAGGGCGTCTCCGTTGGGCCGAAGAACTTGACGTGGAACTCATTGAGGCCTCCCAGGATCGTCACCTCGTGCTTCGATTCGATCAGCTTGATCACATCGTTGTCCATGCGTCGTTTTCCGGCACTGGGCGAGGACATTTTGTTTGTTTATTGATTTGTTTTTTTTGGGATCGGGGTTGTCTCGTCCGGCTTTTGATTGGATTGGTTTGATTTGATTTGGTTTGGAGTGGTCGTCTCCTCGTTGTCTTTTACTAAGGCTAATGCGGTGTTGGTATATGTTTGTTGGCTTGTTGTTCCGTATATATTGCTATTGTGTTGCTTCCCCTTTCCGCTTCCGGTGGCACTGCTGCTGCTCCTCCTCCTGCCTCGAACTGCTCCGCATTCGTCAACTCTCACTGGCACCGTCCAGAGCAACACGGGAGCTGCCTGAAAGTAAAACAAATGGACACAAGGATGAGCACGAGAGGGTTATTAAAATTGCAGTAAAATGAGGAACCTTGGAGTTGCAACACCTTGGAGTTGCACAGGTTGCATATAAAACACGTGTCATTAAGCGGCTCTAAAAATTTCATTTATTTTTCTTGACTTACGGTTAATTTTACTTCTCTTTGATTTCGTTTATTTGTTTTATGGTGGAACTCAAAAATAGGAACTAATAGCCTTGCTAAACTTAACCAATTAAAAAGTTTTGCGCAATCCAGACAATCTATTTAAAATAAGACTTAAAATAATTAACTATCCTAGATTACTTAAAATTAAGCTAGAATTGAGCTTATCGTTTAAAATTTAACAACCGAAGGTTTAGCAACAATCTTTTCTTGTTCCCTTTAACAATGACATTTATCTACATTTGACTATACAATGAAGTCTGGTTAAAGAATTGATCACTTAATAAATTAAACCAAATTTGTTCTTTTAATTTTTGATTACAATTAATTTTGGCCGTCAAAAGTTGGAATCATCTAAGTGGGACTGTCGGGCCCAACGCAGGCGATATGATCTGGAGGAGGTCGAGTTACCTTCTGAGTTATCTATATGCAGTATATATATTTATATTCATGGTTATGTAGGTCACCAGCGAATCTCTTGCTTTTGCACAAACACACACACACACAACATGCACATGCTTACTTGGCCTAAATGAGGAAACTATGTCAGCAATCTGTGACGTCGTCGCCCAAATCCACCCACTCCCGCCATATCTCTCTCTCTCTGTCTCTTTATTTCTGTCTCTAATAAGTCATTGCCATATGCAAAATTCGTTGTCCTTCGAAATGGATTTGCTCAGCGGATTTATGCTGCATACTTTCGGGATACCGTTGAGCTCTATCTCTCTCTTTTGCGATTTCATTTCAATTTCAATTCCGTTTCCCTTCGGTGTGAGGGGGATGGGTGTTGGGGGTTAGTTAGTTGGTTGGACGGCTGTTGTTTTCAAACAAGCTCAGCTGTTTAATGTTGTTGCTCGAAAGTCACAGAGAGAAATAGAGAGAGAGAGAGAGAGAGAGAGAGAGAGAGAGAGAGAGAGAGAGAGAGTGAGCACAAGAGCGACAGCCCCACCAAAATCTTGAAATCAACAAATGTACTGTGGGACATGGGAAACACTAGTGTTTTATAACTTAACTACCTGCTATGTCAGTTATTACTTAAATCTTTGAATTATTTAACCCTCATTTAAAAAGTTGAAACCGCTCTTCATATAATTGGTAGAAAATACAGAAGTATAGAAGTTAAGCTTTTGGGTATATATATATATTTAACTTGAAATGTATTATTTTTTAATAGATTTTTCGATTTAAAGCCACTGTTACAGCTGCCATCTTTCCCCGTTCTATGGGGCTTTTCTCTCCATTACTCTCCCACTCTTTGGGATGAGCTAATTCTGCTGTTACTGGCTCTCCACTCTCTTGAACTTTGTGTGTGTGTGTGTGTGTGTTGGCTGGCTCCCCCTCTCTCTTTCTCTTTCTGACCACCCAATATCAAAAGTCTATCCGTTTCTGTCTTTCTGCCACGGTTTGGCTTCGTTAGTTTAACAAATTGTGAAATTCTCTTTTGATTTCTGTGTGTTGGAAAATTGCTGTTGTTGGTGTGTCTTCACAGTACGCAATAAGCGAAGTAACAGTGTGTCTTATTGTTGTTGTTATTTGCATTGTTTTTGTGTAAGCCTTTTGAGTGCAAATGTGTGTGTAATGCGTCCACATGGAAGATCACCGAACAACAAGAACAACAACAACAAACAAATATCTAACCAAAAAAAATTGAGAGTCAGCTGCAATTTAAAACTTTTGTTATTATATCTTTAAGGGGTTCCTCTATTGAAATATGAATGCCTTAATTTTTAATATTACCGTTGGGACCCGAAGAATTTCTTGAAAACTTTTAAATAAACACACACTTATCATACACACAAGCTTATCAAATATTTCATTTTTGAATATTTGGCTACATATACATATATGCTTTTTGGTGACTTTGTTTTTTACTTGAAACTAATGTTGTGGTTTTAGCTGATGTTGTTGGCGCTCCTTCTCCCTTATGCACAAATATCTGCATATGTGTGTTTTCGTTTTCGCTCGTTTTGTTGTCTACTTCAACTAGTTACTGAAAATTAACTGGCAACAGAGTTTCGAGCTCCAAAGCAGAAAGCAGAAAGCAGCGCACGTTGGAGCTCACGAGCATCACGAGCATAAAGCAGAGAGCGACAATCAGGAGAGCAAGCGCAAAAGAGAGAGTGGGGGCGAGTGTGGAGGTGGAGAGAGCTCTCTGAGTGCAGTACACAGGAAAATAATAAACACCAGGTTGATAATCAATCAAAAACTTGATATTATGACACCTTTAAAATAGCGGCTTGAAATCTTTTCCAAAGTTACCTAAAAGCATACTGTTGAAACTAAAAAATATCTTCCGCATTCATTACTCAGTGTTCCTGTTCAAAAATTTGATGCTTTAGAAATCTATTCCAACCGAATTCAAATCAAAAAGCCGATTTCGTTTGAAATTCACCAGAAGAATAATTTTAGAAACCCTTTAAGATATATATATATATATAATAAATATATACATATAATAAGCACCAAATATTTTAATCGATCTCATAAATTTTTCTTTCTGTGTAGTTTGCCCCCTTCAAAGAAAAATCATAATAACAAAGTGATGAGCAACAACAAATTAGACGAAAAGAGAACCCCAAAGCAAAGCAAAGAAAAGAAAAGCTATAATCAAGGACAGCGACAGCTGTAAATGCAGCAAAAGCAAAGCCACAAAAAACAACAAAGAGCTAGAGAAGGAAATGACAAATAGTAGGAAAGAGGGGGAAAAAAGAGGCTAAAAAAGCCGAAGTGGCGATGCCCTTCAAAATTGCACACGTAAGTATGTGTGTGTGTGGAGCCTAGCAACAAAATATACAAATATATATGTACATACGACAAAACCAATTGAAGAAGGAGAATTAACGAGGTCAAATGCAACGGTTAAACGAAGGGTGCCAAAAGTAAAGTCACAAATTAGGAAGACATCTTTGGAGATTTTGCATTTGTGTTTTGCAACCTCCCCCACACATACCCAGACATATTGGGTCATTGACTGCATGTGTGTGTGCGAGAGGGGCAGCAAAAAGGTAGCAAGTTGTTTCAGTTTTAAATGCATTTAATTTATTACTTCGCGACCACACATTTAATTATACGTGCTGATAAGACTTTTGAAACGCAAAACGGAGAGGGAAAGATAGAGGGAGAATCGAAAACACACAACGCAATAAGCAGGCCAAAAACAAAGTGCGTAGTTTTCGGGTAGGTGGGGTATAGGGTGGTGCGCAAAAGGGATGGCAATAGCACAACAAAGAAAAGATTGCACTTAACAGGAGTTAAAGAGCTCCACATACATACATACTTGGCTTAAGGCTTTCGACTAAACTAACGGTGAACTATTAGAAATAGAGGTAAATAACAATTGGAAGTGTGACTTTCCTTTCAAGCAAACCAACTGCTAAATTAGCAAAGAAGACAAAGAGAATTTGGGGGCTGCGGGATCGGAAGGGAGATGGAAAACATTCACAGCTGTGCGGGGGTCAAACTGCCATTGTTGTTATTATAGTTGCTGTTGTTGTTTTCGCATTCTCACACATACACAACACACACACACTAGCAAATATCCGTGATATATGAAATGCAGTAATTCTATTTTTCATCAAACAATTATAAATACATACATACGCACACCCACTGTATATTCTCTACCTTTTCGCTTTTTTTTATTTTGATTTCTCTTGGTGTGTGTATTTTTGCAGTAGACTCCCGTATAAGTTGTATTTTTGTTGTTGCAGCGGCTGTTGCCGTTGTTGTTATTGTTGCTCGTGGGAGGCGTTGTTGTTGTTGGCTGGCGACCGCCTTCGATTTTTACGCTTCGATACTTCTTCTCATTGCTATTTAATCACCGCGATCTAAGCATTAATTAAATAATTTTGTTTTGTTTTCCGGAAAAAACTGTTTTCGGGAAAATCGGTTGGTAATGTGACCAAGGCCTGACGGTTAAAATATTATCAATTTAACCAAAAATACACTAAAATTACTTCTTCCGTTCCTCCCCCGCGAATAGTAGTACCGTGCATCTTGGCCGTTAAAAAATACCGTGCTTTTTGAAAATTATCAAACTCAGTCCGACTGGATGGGAACTTGGATGAAGAGTTAGCGATTTTTCGAACCACAAAGGTGAACTTTGCTAGAAATATTAAAGGCCACAAATATATATTTACTAGTTAAAGTTTTTCTTTCAGTTTTAAAACTGTGACGTACTAATGACAAAAAGATTTACATTAAAAGCGTGAACAATTTTAACATAAGGAAATATTTTTTACGACCACTTTTTAAAACAAGAGAATTTCAGCGCATATTTAGACTTGAACCTCGTTTGTGTTCGAAATTGGCAGCACTGGCAAAGATTTGCGTTCAAAATTAACCCAAGAATAAAATATGTTTAAAATATTAATATATATTTAATATACTTGAATTTTTTTTTATTTATTTTTTTTCGTTTCTTACAATTGCAATTTCATTTCGTTACATTTTGAATGCGTTTATTAAAACTTGTAATTTGTTTGGTTTTTTGTTTTTAGGATCTCTGTTTTTTTGATAAAAAAATGAGAGGTTAACAATCTTTTAAATTAGCTCTA